GGTCGAGAAGCTACGACGTGTGGACTATTTCATCGCCATCTCCAAGGACATTTTCTCAGCAGCTGACACTGTCCCACTGGAATAGGCCATGGATACTTTTGACGCTCATCAGGACCCGTCTGATTCCGCGCTGGCTGGCTGCTCTGACACCGAGCGGCTCTTATATATCCCAGGAAGCTGCGGACTACCGGGCTCCCGAACAGGATCTGAACCCAGTCCTCCAGGCTACCTCCGCACCGCTCCCTGCCACTAATAGCGGTGAAGCACTTCTGTATGCTCACAATCAAACAGGTGTTGGATTACGTGTGCCCAGGCGACTGGTTTACGTCCATAGAACTGACGGACGCATACTTCCATGTTCCGATAATTCCGAAGCACAGGGAATTCCTGTGCTTTTCCTTCAACGGGATTCAGTACCAGTACAACAGGCTCCTGTTTGGATACTCCCTGGCCCCACGCACCTTCCCCAAATGCCTGGCGGTGGCGCTACAGCGATTACACATGGCGGGCTTGAGAATCCTTTTTTATCTAGACGACCTGCTCCTCCTGGCCCGTTCCCAGACGGAGGTGGAGTCACAGACGAGGGAGCTGGCGTTACATTTGATCACACTGGGCTTCTCTATAAACTGGGAGAAGAGCTCTGTGATCCCGTCCCAGTCCATCATCTTCCTGGGCGTGGAACTGAACTCCAGCTCCACGAGAGCACGTCTTTCCCAGGAAAGAACAGCGGATCTGCTCGCCATGATCCGCTGTGTGCAACCAGGTGGACGCTTTCGCTAACAAACCCTGGCCCAGACTTTTACTTTACGCATTTCCTCCAATCCGTCTGATCCCCCGGCTCCTGGACTGGATCAGATCGGAAAGGCTCTAAGTGATTTTGGTGGCTCCCCATCGCAGCTCAGCGTCCTGGTTTCCAGATTTGCAGTCACTGTTGGCGGTGTGCCCCTGGAAGCTTCCCTGGAAGGAAGACGCGCTCCTGCAGGCAGGAGGGGAGATAAAACACCCCCCGGTTCTGGGTCAGCACCTGTGGGTTTGGCTGCTGAACAGTCTTGTCTGGAAGCATCAGGCCTGACTTCTGATGTGGTTCGAACCATTCAATCTTCTTGCACCCCCTCCACTGTAGCATCTTACTCTGCTAAGTGGGCTGCCTTCCAGCATTGGTGCCAGGAACAGCATGTTGACCTGCTATCGTGCCCTTGGGCCAGCGTGTTGTCATTTTTACAGATGCTGATGAACAAGGGTCTGGCTTTCAACACTGTTAAGTCATATGCGGCTGCTGTTTCTTCATGTCACCAAGGGTTCGGGGATAGGTCTGTTTTCAGCCACCCCCTTACCAACCGCTTTCTGAAAGGCGTGAGATGCCTCAAACCTGTGCACGAGGTGGAGTTGAGGGAACTCCTGTCAAAGGAGGCCATCTCCAGGGTTCCTCCAGGGAAGGAGAACTCTGGATTCTACTCCCGTTATTTCTTGGTACCAAGGAAAACTGGTGGCTCCAGACTGATCCTCGATATGTCTCTTTTCAATGCTAAGCGTTCACTAGTCCCTCAGTGGGACCTGGTAGTGGTCTTACGCGGACTGGCGTTGGCCCCATTTGAACCACTGGATCAGGTCTCGCTGAGATTTATATCTCTTAAAACAGCCCTCTTGCTGGCTCTGACATTTGTTTTAGCAGCTTCATGGGCTTCACCCTGCTCCTTCATGAGGTTCTACCTGAAAGACATGCCCAGCACCTCTGCTTCCAGTGCAGTGCTTGGTAATGTATCAGTCTGATTTCTATCTGTTAACTTCATCAGCTCAGTATCTGCCTCCCTCTCTCTGCATGAGATGCTACAATGGTCAGGGGTATGTTAATGAGTTGTCTCTTAATTATCCCCTGCTGTTCTCACGTTATTCTTAGCAGCTAATGTTAACACCCAGTGTTCTTTGGTGTTATCAGGGATATGTTAGTGAGTCTCTTCCTCAATTAATCCCTGCTGTTCTCCACCCATTGTCTTCTGGTGTTGGTGTTCCTTCATATCATCCCATTGCTCCCTGGCTCATTACCAGGTGACCCCTCCCATCCCCCTTTGACATGGTGTCTTGTCCTTACAGCTGCTCATCCTTATCATATGCCCGCCGGCAGCTGTGTAAGGATGTTATGGGCTCACTTATTCCTTGTTACTTAACCAGTGGGCGTTTACTACATCATGCTCCACCTTTAACCCAATAGGCGAGGCTTAAAGGGCGTAGCCATACGACATAGAACATTGGTTACGTTTTGTAACCCCAGATTCTGAGTATGGCGGAGCCCTTTAAGCATTGAGGCCCACTGGCTCTGGTGTTCTAGAACTTTTGGAGATGATCCTTGGTCCTCGTACGTCTTTTGTAGGACCAGGGCCCACCTGATAGGCGGCGTACATTCAAGCTCTTCAGTCATTGGTCGTTATCAAGGACTAACTCCCAATAGCTGAGGCTTAAAGGGCTCCGCCATACTCATAGAATCTGGGGTTACAAAATGTAACCAACATTATATCACTGTAGTGTAAAGCGCTTTGGAGTCCTCTGACTCTGAAAGGAGCTATACAAGTGCAAGAAACGACTTATAAGGCATTCATTCCTACTGGAAACCACTGAAAATGTATTAAAATATGAGTGAACTTGATCTTTACGCAACTAGAATTCTTGCAACCAGCTGACCTAACTTAGTTTAATAAATTCAACATTTTATTTTTAGAGTGTATTTTTTTAATAAAAACTCTTATTTACCACAGTATGCGGTCAAATGTCATTATCCACGTTTGTTTTTCCCTCCTACACATCCTGTTGGCCCTGCTACCGCGCATACACTCAAAATCTATTCAGATTTCAAACCAGCACTACATCGCTTGGGTATGTGTAGGAGGAAAAGGTAAAAGAGAAGAGCGTGAGGGCACAAGCTGCACTTGATGCTTGATACTCGCTGGTTATTGTTGCCCCGAGCTGTCACTTCTCGCATCAAGCCAAGAGTCAGTGTGGAACTGCAGCAAATTTTTTCCTGGTCTCTTTGTTTTCGATGCTGCTTGGCTTTTGTTATCTGGCCCAGTTAAAGTTTATAAATAAAAAAAGAAAAGTAAAGTACTATTCATGCAATATACAAATGTGGACTGCTAAGCATTTTTTCTTGGCATCAAAAAAAAATATGATGATACACTTGCTATTTTTAGATAATATGCCAGGATATAAGAAGAGAGACAAGTGAGAATGAGAGGTAGCTTTAAACGAAGGAAAAACTTTTATTCTTGAGGGTTTTTTATTTTTTTCCTTTACTTGACAGGATGACTTGTGAGGGATAAAGCTGTCTAATACACACTGGACGGCCTCCACTTTACCGCCTTAGGAAACAATCCCTGTTCAAACAAGCCTTTGAGCTGTCTGGTGGGCCGCTCTCTCTGTCTCACCATTTTACGACTCAGACAGACTTTGTTTTCTGAGCTAACAGCATCCTTATTTGTTAAAACTACTTAATTCTTTTGTCAGAAGAAACACAAACAGCTCTCTTAGGGGCCACACATCAGAACTTCCAGGTTTTTGCAAAAGATAAAGAAATGAAATGGGGTTTCATTGTTGTTGAAACACTGTTTTTTTAAATATATAATGAAGTACTGAAGTATTGACTGAGTTCTGTTTTCTAAAATCAGACAGGCTCTTCAAGGGTTTCATAAAAAAATGACTATTTAAAACCTTCTAATGTGAAAACAAGCATTTGACAATTTTCCAACCTTTTGACTTCAGTTTTACTTATTTTCCTTTGTCATAATTTTTATCAGTGAACAAAAATGTCAAATTCAATATTGAATCAAGCACAGACATGATTGTGATCTATGTTGTCTAAAAGCACGCGCTAGTGTGACATGAAGCTCTCCATGTTTGGTTTTCAGTGTGATTGAGCAAAGACAAGCAGCAGCTTGTGAAATGGTAAATTCTGTATCAGGGATGTTGAACGGGGGGTCAGGAAAAGTGGAGAGGTCAGGCCTCCTTGAGGCTTGATGTCAGACTAAAGCCTGATTCATGCTTCTCCGTCAGCTCCCCAAGGGACAGACACGCACGGATTGACGGAAGTGTTTTGCTCTCATACTTCTCCGTCCCCTGGGGAGTGTTGCAAAGCAATTCCCCGGCAGGACAATAGAAGGCGTAGCGCTGTTTTGTGGGATCCTGTAATGTATCCGGTCCAAAATAATGTTTATATTGTGTTTTTTGTATATGATACTTTTTAACAGAAAAATTTGTCTCTCATTCTCCTCCACCTCTTCATGCGCTCGCCACCTCTAAATCCATGTTTCCTGTCATTTCCGTCCACAAATAAAACGCTTGCTGTGCATCTTTTCACTCCTCCAGTCACGGGGGAATTAAACGTTCATATTTTAGAGTTTTTTCGCAAGGTATTCTTCAAGCTTCTCTGTATCTGCCGCTAGTTATCCTCGGCTCTCTTTATGTTTTTGAGGGCGCAATGGCAGTGGTGTAGACAACAGCGACGTCCTGGCCACTCACAAGCTTGCGTTCTCCGTCTCGACGGACGGATGTTTAAAAAAGTGGTCTTGACTCCGTATGTACTTGCGTGCCTGCCGGGGCCCTATTTATTTTCATAGAGATTGACCTCTAATATTTAAGGTACATTTATATGTGGGTTACACCAGGACGGATAATGGCGTTGCGTGTCTCCGCACTGACACAGACGGAGAAGCATGACTCAGGCTTAATGGCCCGTGGCTTTTTGATCCCATGTTTCACCTCCGGCTTCACAAACAATTCAAGCCAGACATCAGGTGTCTGCTGACAGACTGGGTAAGGTAGATGGGAACAATAACAAAGAAAAGTCAAATACGGGTCTTATGGATCCATCACTAACAATTTTGTCAAACTAATAGTGAGATGTCATCTGTCAAGAAACGTATGTGGAAGCAAAAAATAAAAGTATTCCATGTAGAAGAGTAAACAAGATGGATTGCTTTTATTAATAATTTGTTTTTGTCTTTTCTTTGCAGCTCCAGTGTTTTATTTTGCAGAGGTTGAGTATCATGTGGATGAAAGCAATGGGTTTGTGGATGCCAAAGTCTGGAGGACAGGGACTGATCTGTCCAAGGCCGGAACAGTGACGGTTCGGTCTCGAAAGGTAGAGCGTGCCTCTGCTGAAGGTGGGTTTCCAAGCAGATAAAGTCCGGTTCATGTGGCAGGGTTTTTTAATTGTCAGCCAACTTTCAAAAGATGAGAGACCACACACGTAGTGATAAAAAAAATCACGGCTATATCATTTTTTGTTTTTTGTGTGGTGCAGAAACTCAACTAATACCACGTGCTAACCACATTTACTCACTGACATTCCATGGTCAGATAGGAAATCTCACGAGATAAAACCATTCATCCATCCATCCATTTTCAGCCACTTATCCGGAGTCGGGTCACGGGGGCAGCAGCCTAAACTGAGAGGTCCAGACTTCCTATTTCCCAGCTACTTGGCCCAACTCCCCTCGGGGGAATCCCAAGGTATTCCCTTGGAATACCTTGGGATTCCAAGAGACCTAGTCTCTCCAGCGTGTTCTACCCTAACCTTTGGTCATGAGCTTTGGGTAGTGACTGACAGAATGAGATCGCGTACACAGGCAGCCGAAATGAGTTTTCTCCGAAGGGTGGCTGGGCTCTTCCTTAGAGATAGGGTGAGAAGCTTGGTCATCTGGGAGGGGTTCGAAGTAGACCCACTGCTCCTCCACATCGAGAGGCGCCAGTTGAGGTGGCTCAGGCGTCTGGTCAGGATGCCCCCTGGACACATCCCTGGTGAGGTTTTCCGGGTACGTCCAACCAGGAGGAGGCCTAAAGGTAGACCCAGGACACGTTGGAGGGACTATGTCTCTCACCTGGCCAGGGAACGCCTTGGGATTCCCCCGGAAGAGTTGGCCCAAGTGGCTGGGGAGAGGGAAGTCTGGGCCTCACGACTTAGGCTACTGCCCCCACAACCTGACTTCAGATAAGCAGAAGAAAATGGATGGATAGATGGAAATTGTGAAACAATGACATTTGTTAAAAACTCTTTTGTCTCATTGGTCTAAATAAATAAAATGACTGACAATTGGTTTTGAGTTATTTCACAGATGGAAAACTTCAAAAATTGGCTTCCCTGCAACGTGCTTTCAATTGGACCATACCACTTGTAACATACCACAAATGGCAGGATTATGTTATAAGATCATCTTTAGAAGCCTTACAGGATGCGCTGTTCAACAAACGACTTGATTATCCTGCCATGTGAACCAGGCATAAATGTGGACCTTACTAATTATCATCTCTTTTTTTCCCCAAGCCGGTATTGACTATGTAGGCATCAGTCAGAACTTGGACTTTGCTCCAGGAGTCAGCATGCAGACATTAAAGATCACCATTTTGGATGACATGGGTCAACCAGAACTAGAAGGGACTGAGAGCTTCGAGCTAGTCCTACGAATGCCAGTGAACGGTGTCTTGGGAGAACCTGGAAGGGCAACGGTTTTCATCAATGATTTTGTGTCTGACTGTAAGTGATCCAATTTTGCTTGAGGTAGAATTTGAATTACAGATCATTTTATAGCATCTTGTGTGATGCAAACACCATTTGAGTAATATTCAGTCCAATTTAATTTGCTGTAAAAACACAGATTAATACTACTGTATTTTCCGGACTATACGTCACTCCGGAGTATAAGTCGCACCAGCCATAAAATGAATAATGAAGAAGAAAAAAAAACATATATAAGTCGCACAGGACTATAAGTCGTATTTTGGGGGGAAATGTTATTATTTTTCTTACAAAATCTGAGACCAAGCATTTCACATTGCAAGACAAGAACCAGTAACAATAACAGAATAAACAACCAGGGCGCAGCAGCGCACCACGGTCTCCAACAGAGGATGGCGGTGTTTCAAACCCTCCCAGCAGGCGGGGAGAGCTCATTCCTGGGCCGGACCTGGCCCGCAGCACCCTGCCACAGGCTGCAGCAGGTGATGGCGGTGTTTGAAACCCTCCCAGCGGGACAGGGGAGCTCATTCCTGGGTTGGAGCCGCCCGGCCTGCAGCAGCTCGCCACAGACTCCAGCAGGTGATGGCAGGGTAGAGGAGCTGAAACCTGCACCGGAGCCAGTCCACATCAGTGCGGTATACATAATTTGGTATATAAGTCGCTCCGGAGTATAAGTCACAGGAGCAGCCAGACTATGAAAAAAAAGGGGTGACTTATAGTCCGGAAAATATGGTAATCAGTGGCCAAGACACCAGAGCTGTGTCTCTATTTTTAAACATGTCTTTGCAGACATGATGAATATGCTAAACTAAAGAAAAAACAGGGAGATGGGATTTCAGAGGTTTGCACAAATTATAAGGTCACAGTCCTTGTCCCTGTTCTTCTAAAACTCACTAAAGGTTGCCAAAGTGTATACAATTTCAGGTCAGGCCTCTGCAGAGCTTATCGTGTCTTCGCCAGTTTGTGGTATTGCCACTGAAATGTTGAAAAGTGTGTCATAAATGATGTGATGTAGCACAAAATGAAGTAGGGCTAGATTCAGAGGTGTCTTTTACCCACAGTGGTATCAATGCTCAATCATCTATGGATTTGCCGGCTCCAGGATGATGATTAAAATCACCTGAGTAGCGTCAGCACTGTTACAAGCCTCACGTTGTTTTCTAGTTGCCAAATGTCCCAACAGGGCCGGGATGAATTGCTATGGCATTTGGTAAAGACGATCATTTGCCCAGAGCATTTCATGATCCACTAATCTTTTTATTTGTTGCCTTCAGCACCTCACACATCCTCTGAAATATGTCAGCATCTCCAGTGTGGATCAGCACAACATGGTTTCATTACTCCTGTTTAGAACAAATGTGGCAGCTTTAGTGATTTCTAACCATTTATCTTGGAATATGATACCACTATCAGATCACTCACACTTCCCCTTATCCAGCCTTGCCAGTACATTCTACTTAACCCTAAAATGATGGACCGTAGGCATTGGTTTTCTACGTAATTCAGCCTAGAGCACTCTTGTTCACAAAATACAGCCTGTTTTTCATATTTTAAGGCTGCAAATTCTCACCTATAGCTGTTTTTTCTCTCCAATGTGACTCACACAGCTTTATGGTGAGTCACAGCTAGGTGGAAATAGAAAACAAGTGTATGTTCTTTTTGAATTATGTCCAGAATATTTGAACATTTTGTTCTGATAATATACATACAACATTTAACTTTTAATTTTTAATGCTTACTTTTTATTTACCTAAAATAAAATATTTGAAAAAGTCCCTTTTGTGATGTCACAAATGGGGTAATGGGCGTAGCACAACCTCTCATGTGCAACAGAAAGCTGCCACTAGAGGAGCAGCAGCTCTACTCCGAGCCCTTCCCTGACAACGGAGGTTCTCAGCTTTTAGCAGTCCGAGTGGGGTATGGGTGGGCGTGGCCAGCTCCAGCTTCTTTTCTTAAAGTGACAGAGCTCTGAAATGACTCATTCTGGAAGGTACTGAAAAATGCCAAGAATGAAACTGCTGAAATCGCATCATGTGAGAGAGATTTTGTGCAAAGAACATCATAAACATGTTTTGTATCGAATATAGAATCAATACAATGTAAGAAAACAACTCTGGTTATACAACTCTTGGTAATTGCAACTGCAGTCAAGCATTTGTGATAACTGGCAATGTCTCTCTAATGACTTTTGAGGAATTTTGCCCTATTTTTCTAAGAAGAGTTTCTAAATTGCCTGTTTAAAGTCAAAGGTCAGACATTTTCCTTCAAAAATTTCTCTTAGAGAGCAAAATTCATGGTCCAAATAGTTACAGCAAGTCTTCCAAGTCTCGATGCAACAAAACAGTCCCAAACCATAACACAAACACCACCATGTTTAACTGTTGAGATGGTTTGAGGGTTTTAATTTTATTTTGTCAGTCCAGATAATATTTTCCAAAATATAAACGTGAGTCAGAAACTTCTGTTTGTTTTGGCAAGATGGGGCTTTGGTTTTGGAAGTCTCCGGAGGCCATTTTTGTCCCTTGTCTCAGTGAGGCCTACAGTGAGTTGTCCTGTTTTTGTGTGATGCCTCATGTTATCAGACATGACAAGTAATTGCCTAACTCTACAGTTCAGACAGCTTTAGGTTTGGCTAGTGAAACTGATCTCAGCTTTCCAAGTATTGAGGTTCATCACAAAAAAAGGATCAACTTTTTTACGTGGTTTGGATGGATTATTTTTCTTTTGCTTGATAAATATCTTCATCTTTTTGAACTGCATTTTAATCTTTGTCTGATACTGAAGTTAATATTTTGACCAACAGTGCCAAAGGTCCAGTTTCGTGAAGCGGTTTATGCGGGAGAGGAGAGTGACGGTCGCATCACAGCAACAGTGTACCGCACCGGTGACATCAGACACAAATCCTCCGTTCGCTGTTACACCCGTCAGGGCTCTGCACAAGTTGCCGTAGACTTTGATGAGAGACCCAACACAGATGCATCAATCATCAGCTTCTCACCAGGTATTGTAATCACACATCATATGTTCTTTTCAAAATGTATGAAAGTTTACATCTTTTCTAATAAATAATCTCCAATTATTAATTGATCAAATTTCTCTTATTTTCAATATATTTTATGTGCAAATATCTTCTTGAAAATGAGCTTAGTGATGAATGTATTTAGTTTGATAGAGATTTAGACTGTAGAATGGTTTAGTTCTTCCTTTTGATTTTTTCATTATGAATGTCATGAATGGTGCTGCTGTGCGCTGTAGGCGAGTTGGAGAAGCCGTGTGTTCTGTCACTGGTTGATGACACGCTGTACGAGGATGGAGAGGAGCTGCGGCTGGTTTTAGGGAACCCAAAGAGCGACTCACAGTTTGGCGCGTCAGTGGGAGCTCTGAACGAGGCTCTGGTGAAAATCAAGGACACGGCTGACAGTAAGTGAGATGAAGAGAGCAGAGCAGTAGACTAAAAAAACCAAGTCCCATACTGTTTCGGTTATTTGGGAAAACTAAAGTAAATTGAACATATATTTCTATGTAAAATATTAAATGAGGATTTAAAAAAGAGAAAATGAAACCATTGTGTAATGTTGGAGTTTTATTCTAACTTTCTTCTTATCTTTCTGTTTTAGAACCCATCATTCGTTTCTCAGAAACAAAGTTCAGCATCAGCGAACCAAAGGAAGCTGGCGCCGTGGCAACTGTGAGGGTCCCAGTGGTCCGAGTGGGTGACACGTCAAAAGTGTCTGTGGTTCGAGTTCACACTAAAGACGGGTCAGCTCTCTCAGGAGAGGACTACTATCCTGTGTCTCAAGGTAAATTTTGTTTACATTTGTTCTTTGAGGTCTCAGCATGGGACAATAAAATGAAACAATAAAAACAGTGCAGATTAAATATGCAACAATCAAGTAAAATAAATGCTGTTTACATCTACTTGTCATTCTCTACTAGTTTTGTTCACATTTGTGCTAAAACATACTAAAAATTGCCAGTAGATAATAAAATATTAAAGGTGCAATATGTAAGAATGAAGTAAGGACATCCTGTGGTCAAACATGGTTACTGCAGTCTATCTTTCTGAGCAAAAAGTAACTTTCTTACTACAGTTTCATGAGTTTCATGGCTGCTGCCAGTTACAGATGCGCTCCAGAAGATTTCAGATAACAAGCAATGACGAGTCACTCACACTAAGTACATCAATTTCTGGTGTAAGCACGTTTGGGTGTTTTCTTACAGTAGAATTTCTCTGGCATTAAAGGAAGTGCGTTTTTTTTTTGCCATCTTGCTGTCAGCTTACTGTTATAGTTCTGAATGACTCATTAAAGAAAGTAAAATGCCATGATGGACCCATTATTCACTTCACACAATAGTTTCACTGTAATATCGAGTTGCCATTGTGAAGGTTTTCAGTCATCTAGGTCATGAAGGCAACCAAGGAATTCCAGATGCCTTCATTCAAACATGCTTTTTATTGAGTTGTTGGTAATTGAAAAAGTAGCTTGAGATATTTTTACAGCTGAATATTCACTTCTAATTCACTGTTAGCATTGTTAGCTAAACAGTAGCTTCTAGCCTTACCTGATTTCATAGAGGTTTCACATCTGGGCCAGCAGGAAATGGGGTGGGTGGCATCGGTCCAGGTAGAAGAAGAAGAAGAAAATATCATTTCTATAGCGCCTCTCAAGATAAGAATCACGAGGCGCTTCACAAAAACAAAAACAAATGTTAAAATATGAAAAAGCATTTAGAAAATGTTTAAAAATATGTTTAAAATGAGCAAAAATAGGCAACTGGGATTTAAAAGAAAAAATGTTAAGAAAGAGAGAGAGTGAATAGGAAAGAGGGAAATCAGTGGATCCTGAGGAAGGTGGAATAGGTGGGGAGAGCAGAATAAAGAGAGAGGGGTTGAAGAAGGTCATACAAAAGCCAGCTTGAACAGGTGAGTCTTCAGCTGCTTTTTGAAGGAGACCACTGAGTCCACTGATCTCAGGCTCAGGGGGAGAGAGTTCCAGAGTCTGGGGGCCACAGCAGCAAATGATCTGTCACCTTTGGTCTTTAGCCTGGTGCTGCACAACCAGTAGGCTTTGATCACTGGACCTCAGGGACCTGCTGGGGGTGTAGGGACTAAGAAGATCACCAATGTAAGATGGTGCTTGTCCATGTAAGGCTCTATAGACCAGAACCAGGATCTTGAAATGAACCCTGAAGTTGACTAGCAGCCAGTGAAGCTGGAGGAGAAGCGGGGTGATGTGGGTGTGTTTGGAGGACTTGGTCAGAAGCCGAGCACAGGCGTTCTGAACCACCTGTAGACGGTTCAGGGAGGCTCTGCTCAGACACGTGAAAAGAGAGTTACAGTAGTCTAAGCGTGAGGAGATGAAGGTGTGGATAACTGTCTCAAGTTCAGAGCGGGACAGAATGGGACTCAGCGTAGCAATGTTCCTGAGATGGAAGAAGGAAGAGCGAACAAGAGAACTGACATGAGAATCCAGGGTGAGAGCTGGGTCAAAGGTCACGCCAAGATTCCTGACAGAAGGTTTGGTGTGGGAAGCAAGCTGACCAAGAGAGTCTCTGACTTTGGGAACCAGCTTGTCTGGGGCACAGATGAGGATCTCAGTCTTATCTTCATTCAGCTGTAGAAAGCTCCCAGCCATCCAGGTTTTGATAGAGTCTAAGCAGGGGTGGAACAGCTGCAGCTTAGACATCTCATGGGGCTTAAAGGAGATGTACAGTTGGATGTCATCTGCATAAAGATGGTAGGAGATTCATTTGAAGGAGCTCAGGATGTGCTGAAGAGGAAGCAGATAGAGGAGGAAGAGCAGAGGCCCCAGCACAGAACCTTGTGGGACACCATGGGTAAGGGAGGTGGTGGAGGACTTAAACTTGGAGACGGCCACAGAAAAGGAGCGCTCAGAGAGATAAGAGGAGAACCACTCCAGAGCAGTTCCTGATAGGCCTACCCAGTCTCTCAGCCTCTCCAGTAGCAGGTGATGGTCAACAGTGTCAAAGGCTGCAGTCAGGTCCAGCAGGACCAGAACAGAACAGTCCCCTGCATCACTGTGGGTCAGAAGGTCATTAGAGACCCTAAGAAGAACAGTTTCAGTAGAATGAGCTCTACGGAAACCTGACTGGAAGCTATCATAGATGTTGTGTTCATCAAGAGCAGCTGTGAGTTGTTTAGCCACAACCTTTTCCAAGATCTTGGAGATGAACGGAAGTTTAGAGAGGTCTGAAGCTGCTATGGAGAGAGGGGTCGAGACTCGGTTTTTTAAGAAGCGGGTGGATTACAACGTTCTTAAAGTAAGCAGGGACCTGACCAGAAACCAGAGAAGCATTAATTATAGAGAGCACGCTGGGACTGATGGACTGAAAAGCACTTTTAAACAAAGATGAGGGTAAGATGTCGAGGGGGCATGCAGAGGTCTTCATAGAGTTAACTAGTTTGGTTAACTCAGGCAAAGAAACAGGAGCAAAGCTATCTAGGATGATGGGCCTGGTTGGAGTCGGGAGAGGCGGCGATAAGGCTGAAGGAGAGATGCTAGATCTAACCTTATTGACTTTGTCCACAAAGAAAGACAGAAAGTTCTCACAGTCTGCAACAGAGTGGATGGAGGCTGTAGGAGAGGCAGGAGAGACGATGCTGCTGATGGCGTTAAACAGCACCTTGGGGTTCCCTTTGCTCTGGGACACCAGGTTGGAGAAATAGGAAACCCTGGCATCTCTGACTGCAGAGTTAAAGGATGTCAGAAGATCCTTTAGGTGCAGCAGATGGACGTGGAGATGGGTTTTCTCCCACACCGCTCAATTTTTCTGCATTGGCGCTTCAGGCTGCGAAGACTGTCATTAAACCAGGGAGTAGGGTTCACTGCAGGAACTGATCTGGTTCTGACAGGACAGATGTTGTCCAGAATGGAGAGGCAGTGCTCGTTGAACTGAGAAGTTAAGGAATCTGGGTCGGTATCAGAAGAACAGGGTGGATCAAAGGCAGCAGAAAAATTGCTAGCTGTGCTCTCATTAAGAAAACGAGAACTAACCATACGGTGAGCAGGAGGTGGGGACGCAGAAACTGACAAGTTAAAGAAAATGCAATGGTGATCTGAAATATAAACGTCCTCAGGACAAACACTGTCAGCATTTAGACTCAGGGTAAAAACAAGATCTAGAGTGTGTCCCCTGATGTGTGTGGGGCCAGAAACATGCTGGGTAAAGCTGAAGGAGTCCATAAGGCTGGAGAAATTCATGGCAAAGAGATCAGAGGGATCATCAACGTGGATGTTAAAGTCACCAACAATCACCAGTCTGGACAGCTTCACAGTGGAGGATAGAAAGTCACTAAAGTCCTGAAGGAAAGAACTGTTTGGACCAGGTGGACGATAGACCACAGCACAGTAGAACGGGTCCTTACGTCCGACTTTAATCAGCTGCAGTTCAAAGGAAGCAAAGTGACCAGAGGTTGTAGAGCTACATGGAAGATGGTCTCTGAAAACAACAGCTAGGCCTCCACCACGAACAGAACCCCGGGGCTGGCTAAGAAAAGAATAACCACTCGGGCAAAGTTCAATCAGACCAGAATAATCAGAAGTTTGCTGCCAAACTTCAGTCAGAAACAGAAAATCCAGGTTTTTAGAGAGAATTAGATCATTGAGCAGGAAGGTCTGACTCCCAAATTCCACTACCTCCGCTCCGCTCCGGTCCGACCCCGCCTTCCGCAGCCGCTCGCTTCCGAACTCAATTTTTACTGGTACCCGCTCTACAACGGCTCCGCTCCGGTGCGGAGACCTGAGGTGGGCAAATAAGCATGCGCGGGATTTTCGAGATCTTGCGATACAGTCCGAGCAATAAACGCGGAAGTTAGATCCAAACACCCGTTATGTGGGAGAAGCATCGGCATGAACTGTTTAATCTGCCTATCATTTGTGTAGAGAGATCAGCAGTGTTTGGATCAACAAAGTGTGACTACTTTGATAGTGGAAACTGTATTTATGGCTTACTTTTGTGCATTTAAACTTCAGCCGCCACTGATAGTTGTTAAAAGTTGTTAAACCTGTGCACAGGGGCGTAGCACCAAATTCTGGGCCCTAGGTACAAGTCTTCTAGGTGGGCCCCCATGCTCAATTATTTAATATCTCTCTTACACATTTTTTGTCATGCTATAAGACAAGATAATAAATATGATCTTAGTTTAACCTCTATATTGAGCAAATACAAATGCCAGCATAATAAAAGTGAAATGCCCAGACTTCACATATAGTTATTTTTATTTGCCAACAATGTGTTCAAACAAAAATCCTGGAATTTATTTTCCAGTAAATGCCCACTGACGGGTCTTCATGTTAGCAAAATCACTTATGAGATCTTTAAAGTCCAATCCTTTGGCTAATTGGCTTTCAATAGACAGAAGAGCTAGGCTGTTCAGTCTATCCTGGGACATTGTTGATCTCAAATAATTTTTCACCAGTTTCAGTTTGCTAAAAGCCCGTTCACCCCCAGCAACAGTCACAGGTAGTGTGCAAAATATCCTCAGTCCAATACAAACTTCTCCAAAAATGCTCTGTAATTGCATCCTGTATAGCATTAAGCAGCTCAAGAGGAGACCGAATGTGTGGAAATGTGGCACCATATATTGTTCTCAGGTGTAGCATCTCATTCTCAAATTCAGCTGTGAGATCCTTGTAATATTTTCTCATCAGTGCCTGGCATGATATCTTCATCTGTTCTTCAGTCATGTCTGTCATGGTTCATGATGTTAAGCTTTGCTAATACTGATATATATTGATATATTAAATACATATGACATGAAATAAACCAGGTTCTCTCTGTGAATGTAATGTACTCTAAATTTTATAATCCCTGCATTATCAGCCAAATTATAAGATTGTCTGTTTTCAAGATCAAATATAAAGACATTTAAAATAAGCTTAAATATCTAACCAAGTCAATAACAATCCTCTAACACCAGTGTCATCTTGCTATATGAAAAACAGTGGCAGCTTCACGTTCCTGAGATTACCACCAATCCATCGATACCAAGTTTGTCCTGCTCCATGACTGGGAAGGAGCTGAAATATCCACACAGAGTGAACCTGTTTTTACTGCGAGGTCCGCGAATTAATTGGCGGCGGCCGCCCGCTATAATAATTCTGATTAATATATATATTTATATTAATTAGTGTTTTCACTGATAACACTAATTAATTTATATTTGATCTTGATGGTGAAACTAAAGGCATTTAACACTGAACACCTAACATGAATGCAGCTTCTGAGAGCTAGCTAATATCAGCTAAAACTGTGTTCTGCTGCTGCTGCTCACCGTCCTTCTACTTGCTTCTGTTCAATTAACTTTTCCTCCTTCTTTTCTTTTCTTTTCTTTTATTTTCTTTTCTTTTCTGGAAGCCAGATTTGCCTTTCTTGGGAAAAGACATGACTGACTCCTGCCTCCAGCTCTGGCTGTCGGCATCTGCGATGTCTCATTAGCACATGCAGCCGTGCAGCCCCTGGCCGCTGGTGTGGACTAAACCACTTTGCACATTTTTAAGGGGTGATAGATGCCTCAGAGATTATTCAGTTATTATTTTTAAGGCGAAATTCTGTTTCTTAACCTCTTTATCCAGGTAAAGGGAAGTTTATTAAGACATTAAGTAAGTTGGGGGAAAAAACAACAACAATAAAACATTTTTATTCAAAGCTGTCTCAGGGCCCCTCCCTGCAGTGGGCCCTGGGTAAACAGTACCCTTTCCCCCCCCAGTCCGACGCCCCTGCCTGTGCATATGAAACAAAAAACGCCTTTTGTTTATCGATGTATTGTGAAAAACGGAAGTTGTGCCCGCTCCTTTTCCTGTTGGGCAGTTGTGATTTCTGTCCATTTACTGCGGAGGTGCTCCGGCGTCCGGCGAAAATAGGATCGATTCTATTTTTGCCGGACGCCGGAACAGAGGGCGGCGCACGGCGCCGCACTGCCGGAGCACAGCCGCAGTAGTGGAATTGCTCTGATTGACTACAGCGGGACCGATTTTGCTCCGGCGTTCGTGTCGGAGCGGAGCGCAGCGGAGCGGAGGTAATGGAATTTGGGGGTTATTGTTAACAGAGTGGGTGTTCAATAGGGCCATGCTGAGTGAGGTGGAGGAATCAGAAACTACAGAAACAGCTGGAGTTAGTGGACGTAAATTAGCAGGGTTAGATCCACGGTGTTTATAAAAACCACTTATGGAGGGAACAGGAGGATAAACCACTGAGGAATGAGGATGAACCGACCTTAAAAAACTTGGACGGATGAACCGCGTCCCAACGCGGCCTGGCGAGAATGCAGAAGTGGCGCTCAGGTCACCAAACAAAGGACAAGAAGCTAGAAGATCGCGCCGATGTTTACCAGATAAACCACGCTTTAAGAGAAGTCTTATTCTCACCTGGATTCCTGCTCGTTTACCTCTTTTCCTGCGACGTTTTCCCGGGATCGGACAAACATAGCCGGAGGCAGGCAGCTCGGGACCGTCGTTTGGCTCCGGGCCAGTGTGCCACTCAGGTAAACAAACATGATGATACGTCCTCGGTGCATCTTGGGCAATCGTGAACGAACGGAAGGACAAAAGAGTCTGGCGATCATAGTAGATGGTAGCAGGGACGCTACTGAAAAGGATCGCAGACAGGAGCAAGGTGGAAAAGAGGAGGTTAGTGGAGAAAAGTTTGAAAAAGTGGCCGGTGACTGCGGCTAAGCCAAGCACAGGCGCCATCTCGGTCCCGCACCAGTCGCGTTTGTTCACACACACTTCTCAGGAACAGGGAGCAATCTTTACTCTACACGAAAATAGAACAAGGTCAGGCCAGGGTTTTCCCCAGAAACTTGATAAGTCTAGCTGCTGATGTCGAATTACAAATGTCAGCGCAGCGACGTTAGCTGACTGGAGACAGTAACTACGTCCTTTCTTTTTTCTTTCTTTTTTTTGAAAGGAGAAAAACTGACAAACCCCCAGCTGACAGAATTAATTCTGTTTCAATGTAACCTTCCTTTCAACGTGATTGAGACATTAGACTGTTTTGTGATTGTTTTATTGTAGGATTCTTACATATTGCTCCTTTAAATTAGAACAGTTTTCTCTCTGACAGCAAAACATCTAATCAGTTTAAAAACATAAAAATTGCATATCTATAAAATGTAAACAACATTTCAACATTTTCAACAGCAAGATAGAGAAATGTTGAAAGGAAATTATGAAAGAAAATATGAATCCAACCCAGACATCCTTATTCCTGCAGATTTCTATTATAAGTTAACAGGAGCTAATAAGTGATTTTTTTCACCACACTAATCAATCAATCAATCAAAGCCAGCGTGTGAATGTGTGTGTCACTAAAATAAGAGTCCTTACATAACTATGAAAGTAATGAGATTGACCATGAGGATGTATTCTGACAAGGTTTGTTAATTTCTTATTTCATTCCAAATTGGAAAAGAAATTTCTGATGAACTCCATCAGAAGGTCGTGAATATTTCATAGAGCTTCAGCAAACTTCACACTTTGGGGTGAAGTCATCCCATCTTTCTGCGCAAACCTTCAGAGCGGTAGACCTTTCTCAGCATGATCTAGACTTAAAATGTTTATATGGGTTCATTCAGTCTTGCTCAATCAGCATTAAACTTTTTACTCATTTTTGAATCATAACTTGAGGAATTTGTCATTTGCCACAATAATTTCTCTTAAGTGTCACATTCCCTGTGCAAATATGTGTTGCTTAAGTTGTAAAGTAATTGACCTTTATTTCATTTTACAAAATATTTGGAAGAAATTTGCCTTTATTAAATTTTATGTTGTCACAAAAATATGAAAAAATATAAAAGCATGTGATGCATGTCTGATCTACCTCATCACCAGTAGAACAAAACAAATAAATCAGCTGATATTTGTAATTTTTTTTATTAATTTATAATCGACTATGACCACACACAGCCAATTACCAAGCAGGAAAAGTAAACTCAACAGAAGCTGCTCCAACCATACCCCACTATTTCCTCTTTTATTGTTTTTTATATAGTTGGGGTTTTTTTTTCATAAAAAGAGGTTTACATTTTTGTCACTATATGCTAATTTACTGCACAAAGTGTGCACACGAAACATAATGTTGTTCATATACTTATTAATAAGGTTTTATTTTTTATATCTAGAATCTGTATTTAGTTTTGTGCTAGAATGTTCTTTTTTCTGTATTTTAATTTATTTGTTTAAATATTCAAATTCTATCAAGTGTTATTAAATACATGTTATTTATGTTAAAGAAAAATATAACTAACAAAAGTAAAAAAATAAATAAATAAAGGATGATATTTACATTCATATCAACAATCAGCTGTGGAGCACCAATTGTGAAGTTTGAAAATAATGATCACATTTTAAAATAGTTTTAAAATATTTTATGTTATAAATAAAAGTAACCAAATTAAATTAAATGGGGTGTAAAGATGGCCACGGTCCTTCTGACAGTAAGGTTTCGTAAGTTCTTTGTACCAGTGGATTACTTATGAATGTTCCTCCTCGCTTTAGGTTTGTAAATGATCCGTGGTAGAACGTACTCACATGTAACCATCAAACAGACTAGGTCAGGTAGGAGATTGCTTTCTTTTAAAACAAAAACAACTTGGCTACTTCTGTTCTGCAGTTCGAATGAACTAAATGCTAAGTTTAGAAATGCCCTATATAGCTTTAATCTTTTTTACATGGATTTGATTTTAAATATTTATATGTAATTTATTCTAAATCGACATACATTTTTGACGTTTTTTTGATGCTTCTAATTTCTTTGCCTTACTTTAAATTTGACTCCTCATAATAATCTACCCTGGCTTGATCCCAAATCTCTTAGCTGCTTTTGTCTTTCTTTGATTGTGCCCAGAAATCGAGTTTAAAGAGGGGGAGAGATTGCACATCGTGGAAGTGGAGGTGCTATTTGATGGAGTTCGAGAAACGAGGGAAGCTTTTACGCTCCATCTTAAGCCTGATGAAAACTTGGTGGCTGAAACTCAGGTCAGACACGAATTTACGCTTTCACCATCTCAATGGCCGTGTTGCCACTGTGGGTTTTCCGGGAGATTATTTGGATGAAGAAAAGTGACCGGGGCATACGAATGCTCGGTGCTCTCTGCCATCTCCATACCTAATTGGCCCTTTCAGCACTTTTCTAAAACGTCAGCGTATCACCACTGCTTCAGTGGGTGACGTCATTGATCAGCGACAAAAGACATCCACGGACATTGATACCATCAAAAGTTTTATTCTGTCAAAGTACATTAATTCCTTCAGGGCACGGTGAAAGCAGCTGTGTAATGTAAAAAGTGATGTTCAGAAGAAGCATCAAATTTTTACGATGCTCCGTGAAACCACAAAGCGAGGCGCTGTGCCGGGATTACCACGTTTTTTGTTGTTGGGAGTTGAGAAATGGTGATGTTAAAGCAGCGCCAACTCCGCTTCTTGTCTTTTCTCTCCTCTCTGCTTTACCAGCCACTCTTCCAATTTTCAAAAATCCGGTTATTTTGGTGACGTCTGCTGATTTTATTTCCCACTCTGTTACAACCAATCAGCACGAGTTAACCACAAGCCTCATTCAGCGACTCTACCAGGCCTTTTTTTGACTACATACCCCAATTCAGGTACTTTGTTGGTTTTTGAAAGTAACGGCCCGGTGAAATACCGCTAAAATTTGGTTAAATTACCCGAACCTTCCGACAGTGGAAACAAGCCTAATGTTGTCCAATGTTTAGGTTTTTATGAACAGATTACAAATGTAAGTGTAATTGTTTTACTTTCACCTATTTGTTTCCAGGTCAACTGCAATGCGGAAAAAAAGGATTTTTTTTGTAAATAATAGGTTATTGAAGAAAATAAAAGAGGCCACACTCGAGGAGGCTTATAAATGATGGCTATAATGCATAAAAACTCTTTCTGAAACAGGTGACTAAAGTTATCGTTTACATCGAGGAGTCCAACAGCATGGCTGACGTCACATTCCCCTCCTTGCCTCATGTTGTGTCGTTGCTCCATTATGATGATGTTGCCAGGACACCTGACAACCTCCACCCACCAGCCGGCTACCCAGTCATCTGTGTCACAGTGAGTCCAACAGAATTCACGAAGAACATGATGGAGATCTTTTCAGACACGTATTCAGCCCAGAAATGTGAAAAGTTAAAAAGAAAATGTCATATTTAAAGATTTTTTTCCCTAAAATAGAAGCAGTAGAACCAAGAAGATTTTTCAACCTTTAATTCCAAGTTAAGCTCTCCTCCAGTCCAGTCGACCATTAAAAGGCACATTGCATCATTTAGCAGGCCTCGAGTTCTTCAAGTTCTGTTAAAAGCAGGCTCAGCGAGACACTTAAATGGATTTTTGTGATGTGTTAAGTCATTTGATCCTCAGGTGGCTGCTGTATGGGTTTGGGACAGTGTTTGTTTTGCTGCAGGGTGGTCAGCTGCGTGGGAGGTTCTCTGAGGATAAAAAGTGAAACTGTTGTTCCCCCAGTAATAAAAAAACTGGGTTTGTGCTGCAGGAACCCTTTAAAGCTCACCCTTCTCCATCCATTAACTCCACATGCTAATTATCACTAAGCTAATTGTGAAAACTCGATTATGAGAACATGACATTCCAAAACATCTGGGTTTCATTGGCAGCACTCACGTATGCAGTGGAATCTAATCTTCTATCTCCATCTGTCCTTCAGCATCTGCTGTATCTTTCCCATCTCTCTGCTGTCCCCCGCTTGCCCACCCACCCCTGCTGTGTTCCCTATCCGTCCTCCAGGCTTGCAACATGAAATACCCAGACTACGACAAGACAGGCTCTATCTGTGTCAGCGAGCACATCAACAACACCTTGACCCGCTACCGCTGGCTCGTCAGTGCCCCGGCTGGCCCTGATGGCGTCACCAGTCCCATGAGGGAAGTGGACTTTGACACGTTCTTTACTTCCTCTAAGATGATCACGCTGGATTCAGTCTACTTCCAGGCAGGCTCCAGGGTCCAGTGTGCTGCCAGGGCTGTTAATTCCAATGGGGATGAGGGCTTAGAGCTCAGCAGCCCCATTGTCACGATCAGCCGGGAGGAAGGTAAGAACGAAACACTGAAGGAATCTCACTCATTTGTTTTACTTCAAAAAATAAAAAAGATTCAAACCTGTGAAAAACATCATCATCATGTCTGAATAAATGGAACCCATAATACAGTAAAATTATAAAACACACTTTTTTGTTGATTATAAAGACTTTTATTTGGTTTTTCACCTTTTTATAAATTCTAAAAAATGTTTCATGGAATGGATGAACCTTCTGGGATTCTTACACAGTATTAGTAACAGCAGAGACCGTCTCGGCTAATAGAAGCTAACTGTTAGCATTAGCAACTCTACCACACTGCAGAACCCATTCAGACTTGTGTTATTTGTGGAGATAAAACATCAACGTTGCAGAGCAAATGAAGTCAGTGGTAGAGTTGTGTTGCTATTAGCTAAAGGCAAGATGTCCAAATATCAGGAAATAAGACTCATAACCCTGAAGCTACTGCGTTTTACGTTATCACACTGGAGCACTTGAGCCTGTCTTTTTCCCTAACTTAACAGAGACCACTGCAAATGTATTTAAAATATGAATAAAATTGACCTTTAATCAAATGTCAGTAAACTGGCCCATATCATGATACCACCACCTTCCTTAATTAGTTAAACTTTATCTTTTTATAGTTTTGTCTGTTTAAACCTTTCACTGATTTTTAGTTCAGTTGTTAAAATAAACCAGCATGTCTTATTGTCCCCTAATTCATTCAGACACCTGACTCTTAATTTAATAAAAACTGCTGAACCTCACACGTGTTGCCGCTCACAGATGTGTAATGGTGTCTGCAGTTCTTCACAATAAACGCATCGGTAAGCAATCTTTCCATTTTCATTTTTAACTGGTTTATTTTCGCTCGCTTGATATTTTTGTGAAAATCTCATCTTGAATTTTATTAGTTTCTTTTTGAGGATTAATGCCTTTAAGAGAACTTAATTCAAAAATGAAGAACATTTGAATGGTTTCACAAAATTTCCAGGCAGCACCTCCAGAGCTGAAGGGCTGATCCCATTTTATGTACTATTTAATATTCAAATATGCGTCGTGTTTCATAGGATTAAGCAAATGGCACACACACACCATTCTCATTTCTTACACAAGCTGCAGTAAATCATAATTCAGTGCTGCTACAAGCTATCCTTCATTTCTCTAAATGGAAAAATAAAACTTGCCCTTTTTTTGCTGTTGCTATGCAATCAGTGATGCTGCACTCATTCCACCTACACATCCTGAAAGCAACAGGTTCAGACTGGTCACAAGGTATTCCTACAAATATGGAAACTGACTCAGTCATAATTATGTGGGAAATATAACTTTGCACTGTACATATAAAAGTAACTAAATGTAGGTTTAATCATTTTTAATGTACAGACATGTGAGCTGCTAGATTTTTAATTTTCTATTTATTTTTAAGTTTTTTTCCTTCCTGTCACAAACTAGGCATGTGTCAGCCTCGTAAAATGGGAACAGTTGGAGCTGAACCTTTCTCAGCTAAGCTGCGCTACACTGGAGCAGATGATCCGAAACACCCTAACCTCATCAAAGTGACCGTCACCATGCCTCATATAGATGGTAGGTTGGAGCTGGAGGCAGGACTCCTTCCACAGATGAAGTGAAGTGTAATGTGGTGTGTGAAATATTCACATCTGTGGATTCTCGGGAACATGGCAGCCAGAATATTGATCATGCCAGTTTGTATCTCAGTATCTCTGCAGCACGGCCTCTACTAATCATGCTTTTTCTTATTTATATATTTATTTGCTTTTAGCATTTGTTCTTGTGTTGCAGCAGTTTCTTTGTCATTTTTCCCCCCTCCTCCTCTTAGACCGGGTCCAGGAATCATCACTATTTTGTTTTGCAGGTATGCTTCCTGTAATCTCCACTCGCTCCCTCATGAACTTTGACCTGACTCTTAGTCCTGATGGCACCCGAGTCGGGAACCACCGCTGCTCCAACTTGCTCGACTTCAACGAGGTCACCACAGGTCACGGCTTCATCACTGCCCTAACGCGCAGCCCTGAGAGCATGGGCGACTCTGCGCCCTATCAGTTCAGTGGCTCTCTGCGGGGGGGCAGCACGCTGCGCTTCTACAGGAACCTCAACCTGGAGGCGTGTCTCTGGACATTCACGAGCTACTACCACATGTCTGAGCTGCTCGCTGACTGTGGAGGAACCATCGGGACAGACGGACAGGTGTGTGTGTGCAGCCTTTGTCCGGTCTAGGGTTTGAATGCACATCTGTTGGAGTGTTTGCCTTTGTGTGAACGTGTGTGTTCCTGTGTGCATGCTCAGTTTGTTTGCAGCCTTCTGAAGGACACGCAGACAGAGCGGCACCACATCCATCTGCCTGCGCCTTATGTCTCATTCACTTTGTTTGTGCAGCTCAGTAGACAAGCTTGTGACAGACAGATTTTAGTGAGAAGGTGCACAAACGGAAACGTTCACATCCTACCTGTTGAAGTACCTCCTTAATCACCTGGGGTCTCATTTATCAAACATTGCGTGGAATCCTTACTAAAACCGTACTTAAGCTCAGCAAAAAAAAGTACTTACACCAAGTAGGTTTGTGATCTATCAAACATGGAGTACGCACAGCTGCACGCAATCTCTGCATCATGAATCAGAAAATATCTAGAAAGGTTCTCAGCTGCTTTTTAGTCCCGCCCTCACCACGCCCACTTACTGCCACAAATAGTCAATGCAAAGTGCCTTTTGGATCGCATGCGTATACATAAGCCGGCTGTTGCAGCGCTCCACCAATGACATGGCGTCCATAGATCAAGGCAGATCAAGGAAGCGCAATTTCACAGGAACAGAAGTTGAGGTACTTGTGGGTGAGGTGGAGAAATGAAAGGAAGTACTTTTGCAAAACAAATAAGAGAAAATCCATGGAGTGGCACAGCGTTGCTGAAGCTGTCAATGTTGTGAATTCTTCAGAGAGATCTGTGGCGGATATAAAAAAAAAAAGGTCCAATCAGGATTCAATCCCCAGACTCCCAGGTGAAAGTCACGCACACTAACCAGTCAGCCAAACAGAGATCTCCCTTGTCCAAGTAGCCAGGGTGCATGATCAATCAGGTCACAGTGACAGGACATACACACTGTCACAGACGCATGACATTCTGTCTCAATCTGTCCCCCTGCTGATATTCTGCATTCCGTATTCTGCACTTCAGGCTGTGTGTGTGTGTGTGTGTGTGTGTGTGTGTGTGTGTGTGTGTGTGTGTGTGTGTGTGTGTGTGTGCGTGCGTGCGTGCGTGCGTGCGTGCGTGCGTGCGTGCGTGCGTGTGTGCGTGCGTGCGTGCGTGCGTGCGTGCGTGCGTGCGTGCGTGCGTGTGTGTGTGTGTGTGTGTGTGTGTGTGTGTGTGTGTGTGTGTGTGCGTGCGTGTGTGCGTGTGTGTGTGTGTGCGTGTGGGGGGTCTTGTTCTGTGTGCAAACGAAGCAGTACATGTGATAATGCTGCAGGATTTCATAACTGTATCCTTCTCAGCAGCAGCACTGCAGGTGCTCTCCATGTCCAAAATGTGCGTAAGCCAGGTTCTCAGTCAACTTACCCCAAAATTCCACTATCTCCGCTCCGCTTCGCCCCCGCTTTCCACTACCGCTCGCTTCCGAACTCAAATTATGCTGTACCCACTCTACAATGGCTCCTCCCCGGTGCGGAGACCTGAGGTGCGCAAACAGGCATGCGTGGGATTTTCAAGATCTTGTGATACAGTCCGAGCAATAAATGCGGAAGTTAGATCCAAACACCCGTTGTGTGGGAGAAGCGTTGAAATGAACTGTTTAATCTGCCCATCGTTTGTATTGAGAGATCAGCAGTGTTTGGATCAACAAAGGGTGACTACTTTGACAGTAGAAACTGTATTTTTGCCGGATGGTGGAACAGAGGGCGGCGCACTGCGCCGCACGGCCTCAGTGGTGAAACAGCTCTGATTGACTACAACGGGACCGTTTTTGCTGCGGAGTTCGTGCCGGAGCGGAGCGGAGCGGAGATAGTGGAATTTTGGGGATAGTGGAATTCTGGGGTTATGAAAGAGTTTGCGTGCAAAGTTGCTTACGGAGTTTACCGACCCCATTTTGTGCGTAAGCAAGCTTGATAAATGAGGCCCCAGGACCTTTAATTGACAAGAAAACTGAAAATTAGACAACAAATCATGAAATTATTCTTAATTTCACATTTAATCCAGCTTTCATTCATATTCTTACAGTTTAGATTTTAGCTGTGTTCCTGCATCATTGCAGCACATTTTGTAGAACTCTACTGTGTTCTGTAGTTCTCCTGGGTCAGGATTCAGAGCCTCGCTCCTGTCCTGCTGCTCCTTTGTCTTCATTCAGCCTTTGATCTATAGGTTGCATTTTGCTGATCAGACTGATGAATGTGCATGATTTTGTTTGTATTTGTTTGTGTGTGTGTGTGTGTGTGTGTGTGTGCGTGCGTGCGTGCATTTGTGCCTGTGTGTGCAAATGTGTGTGTGCATGTGTTCATATGTGTGTGCATGTGGGTGTGTGTCTATGTTTGTGCATGTGCACGTGTGTGTGCTTGCAAGATTGTGTTTGTGTATGTGTGCGTGCGTGCGTGCACGCATGCATGCATGCATTTGTGTCTGTGTGTGCATGCGTTCATACGTGTGTGCACGTTGGTGTGTCTATGTGTTTGTGCATGTGCACGTGTGTTTGTGCATGTGCACGTGTGTGTGTGCTTGCATGTTTGTGTGTGTTTTTGTGCATGTATTTGTTAGTGAATTGTGTGTGTGTGTGTGTGTGTGTGTGTGTGTGTGTGTGTGTGTGTGTGTGTGTGTGTGTGTGTGTGTGTGTGTGTGTGTGTGTGTGTGTGAGTGTGTGTGTGTGTGTGTGTGTGTGTGTGTGTGTGTGTGTGTGTGTGTGTGTGTGTAAAACAGGGAACTTGAGATAGAATAATTGTCCTTAGACACAGCGAGAGCCACTTGCACACGTTAGTCACACATGATGCTTGTCATCCATCAGAACTCCAGTCCTATTTGTTAAAGCCCATCACTGTCACTTAAGAGTTTATTTTTAACTTTTATCTTTGCAAAAGATGCTGAAAGACAAAACAAAAGCTTCCACCTTCGAGATCCAGCTGGGTGCACGATTCAAAAAGTACAGATTAATTAGTTTACTAGACAAACGCTGAAGGTTGAACTTATTTTGTGCAGAACTTGTGTTTTTGTTTGGTGTCAGTTTATATATATTTATATTCATTGAAAGCTCAAGGTGATGAAAAAAAAATGCCCTTTTAAATTCCAGCAAACATTAGGCTGTCTTATTTCTATCATAGTGTTTTATTGTTTTACAAAAAGTATAACCACATGGTTGTAGAGTTTCTTTCTCCTTCTGCTTATATCATGCCAGGTTTTTCTAACTCTATTAAACACACATGATCTTTTATTAGTTGAACCAGGCTTGTTTGGATTTTTTAAAATACATTTTAAAGAATAAAAATATCTTCAAGAAAGGGTTTCATTGTCTATAAAAGTAATAACTATGGTGGTCAATGACACCTACTGGTGAGCTTTACACACTACAAATAGACAATCTTCTGTAGGAATATTTACAATCTGTGCAAATTTAATAAAAAATGTAAATTTGATCTAATCTCATTTAAAAAATCTAATTAACATTTAATTAAATGGTATACAAAGCAGTTAAAAAGTGTCAGCGAAACCCTACACAAATAAAACTGTATGAACCCACAGGACTGCCCACTGAGTGGATTTGTGTGCAACACCAGCAGAAATGTCAGCATTTTGAAATCACCGAGTAGGAGTGGAAGACACTGTGTTCATCTTCTCCACAAATATTGTAGCTTTTTGATCCACAGTCACACTTTCATTTATGGTATATTTCATTTTACAACTTTAAACAACTTTAAACAAATGTGCATCACTCCTTATCATCATTGATTGATTAACACATTTGCCAAAATAAAGTAAAACCCACTGCTGTTTTAGAAAATTTTTGACGTTTATTATTCCCTCCAGGTCCTGAACCTGGTCCAGTCTTATGTGACCCTGCGAGTTCCTCTTTACGTGTCGTACGTGTTCCATTCCCCCGTGGGCACCGGCGGCTGGCAGCACTTCGACCTGCAGTCAGAGCTGCGGCTCACTTTTGTATATGACACTGCCCTTCTCTGGAAGGATGGGATTGGCAGTCCGCCGCAGGCAGAACTACAAGGTAAACTCCTTTGTTTCATTTGTTATTCTTAAAAGACAGATTTTGTGTGAATGGTGTTTAATTGTGTTTCCAGGTTCACTGTATCCCACCAGCATGCGCATCAGTGAGCAGGGTCGTTTGGTGGTTAACTTCCGTACCAAGGCTCATTTTAGAGGCCTGTTTGTGGAGTCTCACACTTCAGGCAGAATTAAAAGAACAGGTGAGGTTATTTGATTCAGTAGCCATGTTTCCACTGTAGGAGTTCCGGGATGTTTCTGGAAAGGGGGAGATGACAGGGAAAATGTAATGGCTTGCCCTTTTCTCAGCTTTGCTAAGACGTCTGCAGTGAGTGACATCACTGATCTGCGCCAAAAAAACATCCAGGGGCATTAATACCATCAAAAGTGTTATTTTATCAAACTACACTGTAATTTGTTCGGGTGAACCGGGTGAGTGGCTGTGGGATGAATAAACGACCAGAAGAACTGTCGTTTTTATGGAGCTCTGTAGGAAAGGAAACCATCAATTATGGCATTGGGGAGGGATTTCAGGTGCATTTTTTTGGCATTGGGAGGTTTTAAAGCATCACAAATGCTGCTTATTATTTATTTCCTTACATTCTGCTTCACCATCAACTCTTCCTATTTTACCAATGCCCGTTTTTGGCAATGTCAGCCAGTAGCAATCCTACTGAGTTACAACCAATCAGCATGCGTTAACCACAAGTCCCGCCCAGTAACTCTAACAGTTCTTTTCCGGGTATATACCACAGGTACTCCGTTGGTTCCCGAAATGGCCTAACAGTCCTTTGGGACAGCCCACATGCATGCCACAAAGGTCCAGCAAAATTACCCAGAAGTTACGATAGTGGAAACATGGCAAATAACTTAGTCCTTTTTCTTGTTCAACAAAAATTATTCCAATACCAATAAAACTTCTCAAATATTTTCTAGCAACCTCAATTTCATCTATGGTGATGTGTGTAGACCACCCTGGCCTGACCTTTAACCTCACCCTAGTGAGGAGTGAGCCCACCTACAACCAACCAGTCCAGCAGTGGACCTTCATCTCTGATTTTGCGGTAAGATTACATAATGTTTGCTTTTTCTGTGCCCTAAGGATAACATTAAAACAGTGGACTGGCACAGACTTGTGTTTTTGTTTCCTGCAAATCACAGGTCAGAGATTATTCTGGGACCTACACAGTCAAGCTCATCCCCTGTACAACAGTCCAGAACATGGACTACTCTGTCCCGCCTGTCTGCAGTCCTAGAGAGCCTGTCACGTTTGACCTCAACATTCGATTTCAGCAAGTAAGATGCTTTTATTTAAAAGTGGAGTAGGGGGTGTTTTTCTTTCCATCTTACCTCATAACAGTTTAGCATGCCAGCTAAAATAGCGTGACATTTTAATGGTGAAAAACATGGCAGCTTCTAGCTTTCTTGGTTTAATCATAACTTCAAAACCACAGCAGCTCAATGCCACAAACAATCTGGAAAAAAAAAATAGGTCAAAACTTTCAGAACCTGCTTCGAACCTCATCTCAATCGCTCTGTCCTCTCTGCCATGAACACCGGCTCCCCACACACACACACACATTGCCAAGGCAACTGACCAACGGCTCTACCAGCCGACAGAGGACAGCCTGCTGTCACAAACAACAGGTCCGTCACCTAAAGGTTTTTCAACAGGAACAGAACCAGTAGACAGAAATGTAAAACATCCACTTAATTAAGATTTTCAAAAAGAACTGAACATTCAGTGCTTGGCACTAGGTAGCCTGACTCTGGCTTCACTTCCTGTACGCGCAGAAGGGAGTGGGATGGTTAGTTTGAGGACAGTTTTATGGATGCATCATGATCCAACAATCATTAAGAACAAAACGTTCACAATTATTTGATTGTGTTTTCAGGATTGTCTCTCATTTCAAAGGTGATTAGTTGCCATGTGAAGGGCATTTCAAGTAATAAAAAATTCTCCTGAGAAAAAAAAACCTCATACTGCACCTTTAAAATACCCACTAGTGAAATGTTTACTTACAAGAAAAAAGACGTGTTTCTTTCCCTGCTCTTGTCTCCCAGCATCCTTCCTCGTGTTCTTACTTATATGCATCTTTTTTCAGGTGAGTGACCCGGTTGCAGTTGAGTTTAGTCTAAACACTCAGATGATGCTGCTGTCTAAAAGGAATCTGTGGCTTTCTGATGGATCAGCGGGTTTTGGTCAAGAGACTGACGTAGCCTTTTCTGAGGGTAAAAGTTTGTTATGTCACCCCCCCCCCCTCCCACGTGTTTTATTTAACTGCATTTTGTAATAAAATATTTTATCTAATTAAAGAAATTTTGGTTGGTGAATTTGAGACTTGATCGTAAGCTGATATATGGATGGAGGCCATAAATAAGAAAGAAAAGTATAACAATAGTTGAAACAAAGCAACAATTCCTAAAATATGGATTTTCTTTAGGCGATACGATATACGGTCGTGTTATGGTGGATCCTGTGCAGAATCTGGGGGATTCTTTCTTCTGCAGCATAGAGAAGGTGTTCCTCTGCACGGGAGCTGATGGATATGTACCCAAGTATAATCCAACTAGATTTGAGTTTGGCTGCCTGGCTGACTCTCCATCCCTGCTTTATAGATTCAAGATTCTTGTGAGTACTTTGATTATTATTTTCCACTTTAAAATCGTAGCAGGACTTCTTTGCTTTGACCCATACTTCAACACCTCTTAAGGACAAGGCTCAGCCGGAGACTCAAGCTCGTGGGTTCGGCGACGTCAGTTTTAATGCTGTGCTCTCAGTAGATGATCCATCAGCTGCACCTCTAGTAAGACAACCAGGATCTGATGGATTTAGAATGGACTCCACAGCCATGTTTCAGGTATCCTGTTTCTTTTTCTGACTGCTACTTTTATTTTGGAAGATGGAGTTTTCCTTAAATGTTACTAATTTTGAGTTCTCCTCAGGTTGCCGCAGGGCGAGAGTGGTACCTACACGCTATTTACACCGTTCGCTCCAAAGAGAATGCCAACAGAGGCATTGGAAAACGTAGCCTGGAGTACCACTCCTTTGTTTCCGCAAGCAATCGGCTCGATTTGCCGTCACAGAGGGAAAAGAGCCATCGCAGCAGGAGGTCAGCTGGTGCTGAAATCCCAGAAGTTGCTGACGGCATTGGAGTAGACAACAACCGTGGCACCAACATCATGCACATCGCCTTGGACCGCACCAAGAAGAGGTCAGAGGGGTCGAATGAGCTGTTTGCTAGCGGGCCAGAACCAAGTGAGCTGAGTTCAGGCGAGGAAGAGGAGGGTCTGGTGAGCATAGTGGGAGCTCTGGTGGGGCTGTTGCTGACTGTCCTCATTATTGTCATCATCACGCTGGTGCTGAGATCCAGACAGAAGGATGCGAAGGAGGGATGGAGGGAGGAGGTGCAGGAGGTGGTGAAAGGCTCTGTCAGTACTGAGCCCATGCTTGTGGTGAGGATGCAGGACTGCCACAACAGCTCGGAGGTCTGAGCACTGGATGGACACACAAACATTGGGAATATGTGGGGGGGGGTTTATATATATTTTATTGTTTTTTTAACTGATATCCCATAACACCAAAAAATCTGTGTTGATTAAATGTGTTCATAAGTGTGCCTGATAAAAGGGGAGACTGAGCGAACAGCATACTCTTCTATTTATTGTTTTTTTTATCATTTCATGTGCTGCTGGTAGCTTTTCTGTGTCTGACACTGGTGTTAAAAGTGTGGTTGACTGAAAAACAATTTTTTATGTTATTTCTGATTATAACTGGTCACTCTGAGTTTTTCACTTAGGCTGAACATGAAAAGAGTCTCCTTCATCTATCTCCTGCATTAGCTTCTGATAGAAAATGCACGGTGAAACTCTAGGATTTGAAAATCCTCACAGATCTACGTCACACTGTGAATTAGCTGTCATGGACTCACTGGTCTTGACTCACAACGGGGAAGGCTGTTGTTGGTTTAACGTCCAGGAATTTGCAGTGGACATCGCTGTAAGTTTAAGCTAACTGTATTAGCAACTTCACCACACAGCAGAACTCCTTCAGACTTGTGTTATTTGTGGGAGTAAAGCATCAATGTTGCAGGTCAGTGGTAGAGTCGCGTTGCTGTTATCCCAATCGGGGCGAGATGTCCAAATATCAGGAAATAAAACACCAAAAGTTGCTGTCTGAAGCTCAGCTGTGATGTGGGCAACATTTAGGTCAGAGAAATGGTGCTCCGGTATGTTTTCCTCCCCCAGAGAATGACTTAAAAGGCATTCATTCCTACTAGAGACCACTGCACATGTACTGATTAAAAGAGTGAACCACTCCTTTAAAGTGCCTGAAGAAACAGTCCTTCAGGATGGTCCTTTTCAACCATGGAACCTTTTTTTATACCTATCCTGCAAGTCAAAGATTTAGTTCTGATTTCAAACAGAGGAAACTAAATGACGCTGCCACTTAAAGAAACAGTTCACCCAAAACTTAGCACTTCTGTCTTTTTGACACCTAAACGAAATGTTTTAGATCTTGTCTGCCATGTTTTCCCAAGACCTGTAAAGTTGGCTTTTGAAAAGGTGATGCGCCATAAAGTAAAGAAAAAACAGAAAATTTGCAGAAGTATTTGAAGTTCAGAAGTCTCCAGAGGCTTGCTGTGTATGCTGTCTGATGGTAGACAGATTGCTTTTGAAAATCTGAGTTACACCCGAGAGTTTTGCAATTTTGTTCCATGAGTTAATAAAAATGCATGTTGGGAGAGAACTGTGGCTTTAAGAGAGTAAAAGGGCACTAGATTACACAATCTGTAATGAAAAAGGCAACACCCACTCTTTTATCTGTGATTTAAACCCCTCAAACCATTCTCCAGAACAAATTCATATTTTCTATCCCTTTATTTGTTCATTTTTCTTATGATTTCAGGAAATCATTACCTCTGTGGCTTTATTCTATCCATTGTCAGTATTATTGATCAGCCGTGTTTTGTTTTCTTCAGTAACAAAAGTTACGGTATCTATTTAAAAAGATACTTATCTCAGAAACCATATTGTTATTTTCTATTTTTTTCTATAGATTGAATTGGTTTTGTGCTATAACAGAGTCTAGTCGGAGAACTCCGCCACTTCCAACCTCTCTCTCAGATTTGGTGCCGTGATCACACAAATAATCTGACCTCTCTTCTCTTGAGAGAGCTGCATTTCCACTATAGAAATTCTGGGAAATTTCTGGATATGACGAAAGTTACAGGAAAAATACTTCGGCTCGATCTTCTTAGTCATTTTGTTTCCGCACAAAATGATCACTTTCAGGATGTTGCATATCTCGACTGTTTCGGCAGTAATTAATGTCGCTGATTAGAACCAAAAGGCGTTCATGGACATTAATAACATTCACATTTTTGGTTTGTCAAAGTACGCCACAATTAATCAATTCAGGGGACAGGGAGAGCGACTCCACCGCGATAAATGCCATTTTTTCATGCGCTCTGTATCAGACCACAAAGAGGTGTAAATTACGACATTGTGGAGGGATTTCTGCCACATTTTGGGAGTTTATAAATTATGATTTTAAATATCATTAATTTTGTGTATGTCCTCTTCCTTCCATTCCGCTTAACCAACACCTCTAACAATTGTACGAGTGCAGGTTGTTTGGCGACGTCTGCCGATGTAAAATGTTTATGTTTATGTATTTAGCAGACGCTTTTGTCCAAAGCGACTTACAAGTGATAATCGGCATGTTGCCCTTGAGGCTAACAACAACAACTTGACATCAGTCATGGAGAGGAGGGAACAAGGAGTGGACAGTAGAGATCCTACAGAATTACAACCAATAAGACTGAGTTGACCACAAGTCCCGCCCTTTGTGACTTTACTGGTACATTTCCAAGTACATTTTCTAAGACCAACACATTCTCACACCCGAAGCATAGAAAAATGATGCGGGGTGACCAACCGTTAGTTTTCAACGCATTGGGGATCCCAACGTGTCGGGAGCCGACTTGCTGTGCCAGAGCGTCAGTTTTGGGGTTCCCAAAACTTGTTCTGAGTTGTAACGTCCCTCTCCAACACGATCACCAGGAAGCTTAGAATGACCAACAGGGTTGAGGTTAGGATGGGGATGAGAGAAGGTTAAACGTCGGTGAAATGTGCGTTTTAACGCGGGCATCGGAAACTGACGCTCTGGCACAGCGCGTTGGCTCCAGACGCATTGGGGGCCTCAAACCCTTGGTCACCCCGTGTCATTTTTCGACACTTTGGGTGTGAGAATGTGTTGCCAAGGCAGGAGGTCATTTGGTTCCTGAAGTGGTCCTCTGGGGCTGACCTTGTGAAATGGAAACACGTGCATACGGTAAAGGTCTGGCGAAATCACCCAGACGTTCCAGTAGTGGAAACAGACTTTATCTTTTAACAAATCTTTGTTTTTCCAACAAGAGTGGTTTGAATCTTTTCAAGTGGGTGTCTGTGTGAACCACATGAAATAATGATACTTACCCGTTATCGATAGCTCTTTGAATTACCACACTTTTGAGAGATAGGGGGTGGAATATAGTTGTTTTTAATTATGTGTCTGTGTGTTTATTATGGCTGCTTCATGTAACATGCATCTGTTTGAAGTGTCATTTTTACACAACTTCTGAAATTAACATGACGCATTCATAAGCTGTAATATGTGAGTAATCAGGGGAGTTAGCAAAATGAGCAAAACATATTCGCCAATGCAACTCTGGTTTAGAGGTCTTTCATGCTATCTGCGGTACCGCTGCTTTTTCTTAATTTATTTTTTGTCGTGATCTCAAAATTAACCAGTTAATGATCTTTTCTATTGACACCATGTTTATTTTGGTTGTACCCTACAAACCCAGGACTCTTATCCGTTCTGATTTTTCTACTGTGCCCCTTAGTAGAAAACTCCAGTATCACGTGCAGTGCAGCATCAAGTATGTAAACAAGATGCAGCCTGCTGCCTGCACCAGCGCGAGGTTAAAAAACAAGTACAGTATATTCCCGACCATAGAACTTGATTTTGACCTTATCATTGGGCTAACTTGTCATTGCAGGCTGTTTCCAAACTGGATATTTTCTTTTTTACGGGACTTGAGCACCAAAAGCTGCACCATGCTCACAAACTGGAACATAGAAAGTGTTTTAATTTTTATTATTATTTTTTGTAGTGCAAACCACTAAGTCATTAGTCCGGTTGGACCAGATCTGTATTTCTTTAAACTGAGGTCATTCAAAGAGTTTTCTGTGACAGATAACATAATAGTTAATAACACATTCTGAAGTATTCTGTGCACCACGCCAGTGTTTTAAGTAATTTTTAATTTCCTGACAAGTGATGCAAATGAAAAAAGCTGCTTACAAATCATCTTAGAAGTAAAATCCTATTTAATATAATCTCATCATTTTGCTGATATCACTGGGAAAATGTATTGTTAATGTGTATTGTTAATCATGTGTCTCACTCTGTTATGAATATAAAACACATTGAGATTAATGTTCAAACTGTTTGTCTTATGATGGTGCTGTTAATCATCACTGAATAATTCATTTCAGATATTTGTCGGGATTAGCTGATGTGGTGATGAACATGAGTCGGGACCTGATGAGGTGTGAATCATGCTCAAATCCAAATGTGATTTTCTTTTCGCCCAGATGAATCTGGAAATGACACCATGTCTGACATTAAATGCACTTTCTTACATCGCATCATTCATCTGCCAAGCTATGCAATGTAATGTATTCACTTCAACCCGTCACCCTCAAATGTACACAACTGTTTCAGCACAAACAATCTTAGTATTAGGTTTTTTTTATTATTTTTTTATGTTTATGTAATAAAATTAAATATTGTTTACTGGTGCCTGCTGGTGTGTGGTTTCTATTTGTTTTCCAGATGAGATTTAAAAATAAAATGGTGAGTTGAGGAGTCAAAATAGTTTTAATGCTTTGAAGTAGAAAAAATTTATTTTCTTAATTTATTATACTACATTTATTTAAATATGTTATGCTGCGGATACATTTAAAGCAATTATGTAATGGTTTACTCTGAATTTTGCTAGCTTTGACAGCACAATGTTTTTAACTGTACTAATTTAAGTAAAGCAATATTTACGTTTAAAGCAGTTGAAAAGTCTATTTAGGCTATGTTTCTAGTAATTTTTTTCACATTTTAAAATGCAAAAGAAAATCTGATTTGACCTGTAATTAGATCGGTGTAAAAAAAACTATGAGGTTTAATATTTTCACTTTTATTCTAAAGTCATACTAAACGATTTAGATAATTTTTTAAACATCATGCTACATTAATTTGTGAGTGTGAGATTAATACATAAATAAAAAAGATTAAATGAAATATAGCGGCAGTGCTTACGTAAGACGTCTGCGCTAAAAGAAACGACTAGCCTCCTCCCCTTTCCTCACTCACTTCCGGCTGGCTCAGCGGCGTTAGCGAAGCGTTATTGGCTCGAAAACATGGCTACCGCTGGATCAGCTGGAGATGATCTGAAGAAAGAGCTCACCTGCGCCATTTGTTTGGAGATTTTCAAAGACCCGGTCATATTGAAATGCGGGCACAATTTTTGTCGGTTTTGCATCTGCATGCACTGGGATGAAAATGGCGGAGACTACGGGTACCAGTGTCCTCAGTGCCGAACGGTGAGTTAACAGCTATGGTCAACACGCGGTTATCTGCTTTTTCCCTTTCTTCCTGCCCTGTCTCGTGTGTTTGTGTATTTTAACAAACGGAATAACACACTTTGTGTACAAGTTATTGATTTTAGGTTTTGTTACTTAGTTGGTATTTTAGTAAAGAGATGCAGTTGCTATACCTTAAAAAACTTTATTAACAATTTGAACGAAATACAAAATCTCGTAGAGGATTAATGTCAGATCAAATATATTGACAAAATCAAATCGGATAATGTATGAAACAGAAAAACTTGAAACAAATAATGAGAAGGAAAAATAAGATGGAGGGATTAAAGAAATAAACAAAACAAAAAAAATCACAGTATTAAAGTCATTCCGCAGCAAACAAAATTACATCAAAGGAGCTCTGGTCATACAGTAAAATAACAGAAAAAATGAAATTTTAGTTGAGCGATTTGATTCCAGATGCTTTAGTTAAGATAAAATGAATCAGAGAAAAGAAGGTAAAATAATTTTCCAATTATTACAATGAATATATTTACCAATTAGAATAATCATATTTATAATGTCAGATAAAATTGCAGTTAGACTATCCATGTAAAAAAATGATATGAGCTAATTCAAAGTTTGGTATATCATTTATCTTTAGTGATAGCCGATTATGAATTTGCAACCAGAAGTCTGCAGACATGGAAAAATAATAATAATAATAACAATGCTGCAAAGTCTCACAGGTGGAGTCACAAAAGGCACATGGATCAATTTAAAATTTAAATATTTTTTTGAGAAATTCTGCCACTGGATAAATGTTATTCATTATTTTGAAATGTGCCTTTTTAACTTTGGGTGTAACCGGCCACTTTAATTTAGAGAAGGCTTTTGTCATATCAGATTGGTCCCTATGAAAAACAAAGTGAAAACCTGCCTATAGTATAATCATGATAAAAATTAACTTTGAAATCTGCATGAATAATCTTCTTATCGAGTTTTCTATTCAATATATTAATTCCATAATTTTTGAGCGTAGGCAACACTGGTTTTGTAGTTGAAAATAACATTGCTTTAAACCCACTGGAGCTGCTTTACAACCCGTTCTGTATTCTTTTTTACCACAGCGAATATTAAGTTTCTTTTTAAAGGATGTAAAATCAAGCTAATTTGTTGCTATGATACCTGCCTAGCTAGCTTTGGTTGTAACAGGAACAAACAAAAACTATCATGCAAAAAAGAAAAAAGTTTCACAAGGGTGTGTAGCATCCAGCAATGGTCAGTTTAGGTGCAGCCTGACCTTCCACCATCTATTCAACATCTGGTCAGAGAGGAGACACAACAAGTCTGCCTTCACACAAGCTGGGAGTCAGACTTCACAAGTCTAAATCATGACATTAACTTCCTTTCCTCAAGGTCTCAGCTGCAGACGACAGAAGATCCAGCTCAAATCAGTGCTAATGTCAAGAATGATTTTAATAAATCAATATTCAATTCAATTCAGTTCAAAAATACTTTATTAATCCCAGAGGGAAATTGATTGCTGTAGTAGCTCAGAATAATAATAATAATAATCAAGTCATCAAAGAGTTGTTGTATATTACAATGGCTGTTGGCAGGAAGGATCATCGATCATAACATCAATTCTTTAAAACTAAAACCTGCTGAGAGATTCGTCAGTACTGGAGAGTTCTGGAGAATAGCTCAGATATTATGATTTTAACAGCCAGTCAGAGGCTGACAGAAAGGAAGATGTTACCAAGGCAACTCTCAGAAACACGCCTTCTTTAATATGGAAGTCCTGATCCGGGTAAAAGGTTTTAGCTATGTGTATGGGGCTTTAGCTTAGCCGTACTTGTTATGGTGGATGTGCAGGTGTGTGGACCTTGTCGTCAAAACATGGGGAACACATTGCAGTCTAGTGGATCAACAACATCCACTCAATGAGCACATTTAATGAAGCATTTCATTTCATAATACTATAATTATCATGTAGTCATAAACAAATGATTATTTAATGATTATCTAGATTATAAGTCATAGAAGGAGTTTATATTGATTTATTAAAATCATTCTTGACATTAGCACTGATTTGAGCTGGATCTTCTGTCTTCTGCAGCTGAGACCTTGAGGAAAGTAAGTTAATGATGGGTATAAGCTGATTTTGACCTCATCTTGTTAATAACTTGTCTGTGTAAACATCTGGTGTTTTTTTTAAAAGGGAGGTTCATCAAACTTATTTACATTTAGGCCTAGTCCACATGTAGCCGGGTTTTTTAAAAACGAATATCCGCCCCTCCAAAAACTTGCATCCACACCACCTCGTTTAAAAAAAAACTCTGTCCACACGTACCCGGATAAATACGTTGTTAAGGACATGCCAGACCTGTATGCAGCAGTACTTCCCCCGTTCTTAACCTCGTCCTTCGTCTCTGGTCTTCCGCACGCAGACACCCAAAACGGAGAAAACGCAGATCTTCACTTTGGCCGGAGTTTTAAAAAAGATCCGTTTTCGTGTGAAAAAACTCCGTTTTCGTGTGGATGACAGGCCAAAACGTAGCAAAATATCTACGTTTTGGCAGATCCCCGGCTACGTGTGGACAGGGCCTTAAATTGTTGCAGGAAGGCTGACCTCGCTTCAGTACCTTTTATTATTAGAACTCCCTGAGAAAGCTAAAAGCCAGACCAATGTGTTTATGACTAGCACCTGGAGGCGCCTTCCCAGTGCTTCTCGGTTGACTGTCTGTGAAGAATTTGTGTGTGTGCTTATCTTTAACTTTGTGTGTGTGTGTGTGTGTGTGTGTGTTCCTAAATAAAATGAGGCTCCAGGCTTTGCCTGAGTGTGAGAGCAAACTGACCTCCGTCTGGTATGTATTGATTTCTCTCACCAAGTGTTTGTTGTTGTTTGTTGTCGGCTGATTACAGTTGACCAAATGATCAATCTAATCCCTCTGTGTGTGTTTTGAACTACAGGATCAATAAAAATTACCCAACAGTTAATGTTATGATTTAGGCTTGTGGAGTCTGAATCCCAGCTTGTGTGAAGGCAGACTTGTTTAAAGGGAACACATGCAATGTTGTGTCTCCTCTCTGACCAGATGTTGAATAGATGGTGGAAGGTCAGGCTGCACCTAAACTGACCATTGCTGGACGCTACAGGTGTTACATTTGGAGCATAGGCTGAATCTTTTAAAAAGTGTGGAGAAGTGTGCAGAAGATATGTTTTTTAATAAGTTCAACTTTTTGTTATTAAAAAGCTGGAAGAGGGGTTAGTTTTTATAGCACCACATTTAAAAAAGAAAGTTGTGGCATTAGAGAGGACTTTTACCAATGTGAGCCCTAAAATTAAATACGTATAGCAAAATAAAATAACTTTAACTAACATTTATTATGTTAAATAACTAATATCTACACAATCGCTTCAAATAAATTTGACAGACAAGATAACACTAAATTGTCTAAAAGAGCTTAACGTTTTTGCTAATATTTTGCAGTGATTCAGTTAAATGGCTTCATTTGAATATGCCGCACTGAGATTTTAGTTTCTGTCTTCACCTGTGTTCTCTGATTTCCCAGGCGTTCAATAAGAGAACCTTCACTAAAAACTACCTGGTGCAGAACCTGGTGGACAAACTGGACGATCTGGAGTGTTTAGGGCCATGCCCTGCACCCCCGAAGCCTGTTAAAGTGGATGGAAAGTGTCAACAGCATGGTGAAGAGCTGAAGCTTTACTGCCAAACTGATAAGAGACCCATCTGTGTAGTTTGCAGGGAATCTAGAGCTCACAGGTCAGTTCTGTTTTATCCATTAATGTAGGCAAACATTTAATTTCATGTAAAAGTGATGTATGTGCTGGGAGTTATGAACAGGAACACCATCATCATCAACTTAAAAGTGCTTTCCATCAGCCAGGATACAAACCAAAGCACTGTTCACTCATAACATACAAAAGATGTTTCAAAAAGCCTCCATTTGTGATGTCACAAATGGGGACATTTACATAGAACCCCCTCTCACCTCTCCAGGCTTGATGAGTAGTGGCTTAGATTAACGTTCTCAAACAGTCTTTTCTACTGCTCTCAATTAGATTTTTGGTGTGATTGAGATAGTTGGCTTTCCTTTATGACAGCGATACTAAATTGGCAGCCCACGGGCCACGTCCGGCCCGCGCGGGAGGCCGACCGGGAGGTGTCGGATAGATAGAGCTGAGGAAAATAATCAATTCATTAAGATGCAGGCATTAACGATTCTGCATCATCCGGCCCTCTTGCTTCTGGGTCTTTTTTGTGAGAGGAGCCCTGCTTTATGAACTCTGATGAATGCATTAAAATACACATTCTCTGGCTTTGATTTCAAATGGAAAAAAGTTAAGTCATCAAGTACAATTACAAATTTGTTAATTTATGTTATTTTGGTTTATCACATTGTGGTAGTTTAATGATTAGAATCTGAAATAGGACAAACCTGCAGCCAGATGGTCGGTGTTGCAGATCTGCGATAATTATAGCAGAGCTTTTGGCTTCCAAAGCAGAGGACGTGGTACAGTAAGTGCACAATGAAGCAGTTTTGGCCAATTTCACTAAGTGTGAATTATTAAAACAACAGATAACATGAAAGATAATGGTAGCTCATTTCTTAATAGGGATATTTGTATTACGTTCTAGTTTTATTGTCCGTACAGGATCTCCATTCATGTCTGTGGGGTTTAGATCCTATTGTGTGGTGGTATAAAATAAATGTAACCTTTAGTCAAGCAATCACACGCATCCTGTGTGATTGCTTGACTACTCAAAATCTCAGGCGCAGCGCATCCGCCTTTGGTGTGCCCCGGGCTTATTAATAGCCAGGTCAATCAGTGGGACGTACGTGGTTGTAGGCGTGAAGGACACACACACATTAGGATTAGCTACCTCTGATTGTTTTAGGGCGGCGTGAAAATTGTTGCATAACTACATGGTATTTTTTGTAGTGGTGGGCATAGATTAATTTTTTAAATCTAGATTAATCTCACTGTAATCTTGGAATTAATCTAGATTAAAATGGCTCATTCAAATTCTGCCAAAGGCATGTGTGTGTGCTACCTAGATAATGAATAAAAGCAAGTCTTTGAGAATGGAAGCGCATTTCTTGTTTCAATAATGCATCACAGACTGATAAAGCAGTTTTACTACGATAACTGATGATGAAAATAAATAATGATCAATAAGTATTTGTGTTTAATAGCTGTTTATTCAGTTCAACAAATTCTGCACTGTAGGTCTACAGATTAGGTCATGATTAACTATTTACAGTCAGTAGTATTTGGTCAATCAGTCCAAGCTCTATTTCTCCTTCCACCAGTCACTCAAGCAGACCAGCTTGTTCACATTGTCTGGTGACAAACTAGATCTTCTCTTCTGCACAATATGGCCTGCTAAAGAAAAAAGTCTCTCACATGGGACAGTTGTGGCAGGAGTCCCCAAATATTTACGGGCAATGTGGGCCATCTTACCATACACAGCAGTGTGTTCTGACCACCACTTCAGTGGACACTGATCTAAATTGGCACTGGGCTCTACCTTGTACCTCTCCACAGTGTTGTCTACTGGTGTCTCCTCATCTGAGTCTGAGTCTGATCCCATTGGGCTCTTTTCTTCTTGGGTGGCTCAGGGTTCTCCTCCCTGAGTGGCTTCAAAGTAGGTTCTTGTCCCTTCACCAACTCGCGTAGCTTTACCCACACCGGCTCCCTCTTTGCTCTGGGCAAGCATTTGAGGTCCTTAAATCGTGGATCTAAGGCAGTCACCACCGTTAATAAATAAAACATAATTATTATTATTGATGAAAATTTCACTTTCCAAATCTAACCTCCATATTTGTTCATGACTCCTTCATCTATTCATTTGACCAACCTACTAGATGGCTTTCATTTCCACTGCGCAGACCGCAAGAGCGATCTCTCTGGCAAAACCAAAAGGTGTAGTTGTCTGTTATACTAACAACAGTTGGTTTGGTGTTCTGATGTGACCATAATCTCCCAGCACTGTTCTCCTGATTTAGAATGCCTACTCTTCAACTGTAACCCTTTGTACTCTCCCCGTGATTTCTCCTCATTTATTCTGGCCACGTCTACATCCTGCCGAGCGCAGACATGCACGCAGCGCAGCGTGCACTTGTGGATACAATTTTGTGCGTGGAGCAAAAATATTGTGATTCCAGCATTGTTCCAACACTCACCAGATTGTATTTCAATAACGACAAACCATGGCCAAACTCAGTCAGCTCAAGATGGAGTGCTTTAACATGCAGCCAGTAACCCTTTTAAAACCTGAATATTCACAATAACCCGGTTCCGCAGGTCCATGTAAACCCTGCCAAAAACCCGGATATGCTCATAACCGGGTTTTTAAAGGGTTACTACACCTGGGGTAACCATTTTCTAACCCGAATGTTTGGTCGTGTAAACGCATATTGGGATATCCCCATCAAAGCGTGTTCTGCGCATGCTCTGTTCGCAAGGAATCTTGGTCTTTTGAGTAGCGAGACGTCTTGTATGTGCCAGGCCAGAACACTGGAAGTAAACAACAAGTTTGGAGCAACATGGCGAGTCGCGGCACAGCACCACACTTTTGGAGTGATGAGGAAACTAAAGCGCAAACAAACGCGGTCGCTATCTCTTCCGAACGGGGAAACATGTTGTTTTCACAGATACCGGAACAAGAAGAACCGTAAAAGACGCATATTGCGTCTGGATGTAGTCCATACGTCCTGACGCTACCCCAACGTCCGCATTTAAATCGGTTTATGCAAGTTAGGGGTAACTCTTTCTATTTATGCTTGTAAACGGGTTATTCTGATCAACTCAGAAACCCGAATACCGACCTTAACCCGATCATAACCCGGATATTGGCTGCATGTAAACATAGTCATGGAGAAGGAGATTGCATTTAAAAACAAAGACACAGAGAGCTACAAAAGAGGTGAAATACAGGTTCAGCAGGGAGGTGAAAAATGCTAAATCAAGGTACTCTGAGAGGCTGAAAAAACAATTCTCAGCTAAGTCTAAGGAGCTTTGAAAGAAAAGCGTCTGGACTTCTTTGAGTTGCTTGAAGACGTTTCACCTCTCATCCGAGAGGCTTCTTCAGTTCTAAGGTCAAATGGTGGAGAGTCCCAGATTCAAACCCAGTGGGAGTTTCCCCCCGAAGAGGGAACAAAAGACCCCCTGATGATCTTCTACATAGAGTGTGTTTACATGCAGCCAGTAACCCTTTTAAAACCTGAATATTCACAATAACCCGGTTCCGCAGGTCCGTGTAAACACCGCCAGAAACCCGGATATGCTCATAACCGGGTTTTTAAAAACCCGGTTACTACACCTGGGGTAACCCTTTTCTAACCCGAATGTTTGGTTGTCTAAACGCATACCGGGATATCCCCATCAAAGCGTGTGTTCTGCGCATGCTCTGTTCGCAAGGAATCTTGGTCTTTTGAGTAGCAAGACGTCTTGTATGCGCCAGAACACCGGAAGTAAACAACAAGTTGGGAGCAACATGGCGAGTCGCGGCACAGCACCACACTTTCGGAGTGACGAGGAAACTAAAGCACAAACAAACGCGGTCGCTATCTCTTCCAAACTGGGAAAAATTTTGTTGTTTTCACGGATACCGGAACGAGAAGAACCGGAAATGACGCATATTGCGTCTGGACATAGTCCACACGTCCTGACGCTACCCCAACGTCCGCATTTACATCGGGTTATGCAAGTTAGGGGTAACTCTTTCTATTTGTGCTTGTAAACGGGTTATTCTGATCAACTCAGAAACCCGAATGCCGACCTTAACCCGATCATAACCCGGATATTGGCTGCATGTAAACGTAGTCATAAACACATAAGCCAAGGTGTGGGGGTGGGTGTGGGTCCTATTCAGCCAGAGTTTCAGGTGAGCTCATTGTGAAGCCTGGTCCCACCCTATCATGTGAATTCCTGAGGTCAGATGGTCCAGGATATGCGTGGGCGTTGAGGCATCTGGGAAGGGATCTCAAAACTTGTTCCCTCTTCGGGGGGAAACTCCCACTGGGTTTGAATCTGGGACTCTCCACCATTTGACCTTAGAACTGAAGAAGCCTCTCGGATGAGAGGTGAAACGTCTTCAAGCAACTCAAATAAGTCCAGACGATTTTCTTTCAAAGCTCCTTAGACTACAAGGACCTGGATGACTGAGAAACTTCACAGACAATTCTCAGCTAACAACTCAACATTTGTGTGGAAAGGGCGCTTAGGCAAATCACTGCAAAGCCAAATAACCCACTCAACAGAGGACCTATAGTCAACAGGCTAAACAAGTTCTAATCAGTGACTGTAGAAAGAGAGTTTGGCTGCCGCTATGATGGCCCATTGGAAGTTTAGAATTTGTTTTATGTTTTATTATTTTCTGCATCAAACAGAACTTGATTCATTCTCCAACATTTCAGAAATGAACCACTGGGTTCAAATAAAATAACAAACTAAGTCAAACATTTTATGTGGTGTTATTTCTGACACCCTTGAACTGCGGCATAACTATTTGACTCTAATGCTGCTCAGAGACATCAAACACTCATATATGAACCCATTATGGATTTTATTGTTACATTATGTATCCTGTAGGTTTTCAGTTTTTTTTTTTTTTTTCAGATTTTGTGAGTTTTTGCAAAGCGTGTTTTTCTCAGCCTGAGGCGTGGTGCTGAACGAGGAAACAGGTTGTTTTACTTTGTTAAATCTTCTTAAATGTTTAAAATGTTTTGTCCTAACCTGTTGTGAATGGAGAGATTTTGAGGGAGGGCAGGTTGTGTCAATTACGTTTTTGATTTAAAAAATCAATAAATAGGCTCAGCCCTGCAGTACCACATTAAGGCGGAACCACTTGGTAAATGTGGAGGACGCTCACTCTGACAGATTTGGATGCAGCGCTGGAGTCGCCGTTAAAAAAACAAAACTACATTCCAATATAATCGATTATGGCGTACTCTTCTATGACGCAGAATCGTTTATGTCCGCATCCCTATGCATCAATTATTTGATTATTTTCCTCAGCTCTATTCATGAACATGTTAATCTTTGTAGACCCTACCTGCATGGCTCCAGCATTTTCTCCAGCTTTGCCAGCTTCTCATATTCCGCATTTGTTGGGAGGGCAAGATTGTGCTCCTGCTGAGACAGCGTTGTGTGCAGTGCGTCTCTTGTTTCGCCTCACGCGTTTGACCATCTCAAGGGTGGAATTCCACCGTGTTGGAACATCTTGCACAAGTTGTTCCTGTTCTTGTCCAAGGGAGGCTTGCTGGGCATTCAGCTCGTCTGAGTTTGCTGGACTGTGTTTGAAATGTCCGACCACTTTACGGCACTTGACCAGAATGCCATCAAAACCACTTTCCCGAAGTGACACTACTATAGCTCTCTGAATAACATGTGCAACGCAGGGCAAATGCTCGAATGGCAGCATCCTCCCCTGCTGCCACCATATTACGAGCGCTGTCTGTTCCAATAGTGCTGGTTTTGTCAGCTATCCCCCACTGATTAGCAACGTCAAGAAACTGCTTGGCACATGCGTCTGCAAATTGGCGCTCCTCTGTTTTCATCACACCTAATGGTCAAAGAAAGATCAGAATAAGTTCACAAGCAGTAAACAACTAGCAATCATTAAGAAGCAAACATAATGTGGTGGTAATTCATGGTGTTGGGCTAATTAATAAGTAGGCTAATTATATTAAATTATACAACAGTTAGTTCTAACCAAGTAATTTGATTGGACAAGAGACATTCCTTGAGTGCTGATATTGGAGTACAACAGCACTGGGACATTTTACAGACAATATCAGGCGTTCTAATGCTATGTTGTGTTATTTTTGTGTTGCCTAGCAACAGCTTTCTAGTTGGAACCATTTGTGTTGGCGGAGCTAAATAAATGATTGAATAAACTAACAAATTATAATCTTATGCTGCTTAATATTGTTAAATAAGAAAATTTGCTCTTAGAACTGTTGTATAAAACAATATCACATGAGAGGGAGTGCTGTTGTGCTAAATATCAGCACTGGTGTGATTATTTACGTATTAATGATATGAATCACACAAATGCATATATTCAACACAACAGCACTCCCTCTCGCGTGTTAACCTCTCGGTTAATTATGAAATTTAAAAGGACACAGCCTACCTAAAGCAAAGGAGTGAAGTTCCCAGCTAGCATCGATGAGGTTTGCAGTAACACCGAGGTAGTTATCATCACTGACAGAGGTCCAGTGGTCCCCAGTCAGTGCTACACAAGTTCACTCCACCAACTTCTCATCTTTCGCGGCTTTTTCTGTTGCATGCTGGTCATGTGTTTTCCTCACGATTGTTCGCCTCGCAGGTAGTTTGTAGGATGAGTCACCCGTGGCCGCCTGGAGAACAAGCTCGAGCCCATCATCTTCGACCACGCTGATGGGCCGGCAGCTCGTGGCAATCCACTGAGCAAGGAGATCAGTGAGCTTACTTGATAGAGCTGCACTGATGGGCTTGCCTCGGTTGCATTCAAACCTAGTAGTTTGACAGAAACTCTTCCCCTGCGCAACACATGGTCCAGCATCTTCCAAATTAGCTAAGGGATGCTTAGTGTTTAGGTGGTACTTGAGACTGGAAGAACTTCTACAGTAAACAAATTCCGCATTGCACAAGGTGCAAACAACTTTAGTCTTGTCAAGGTTTCCATTGGGAAGCTTCTTAAAAATAAATTTTCCCTGGAGCAAACCTAACGGCTTCATAGGTGCATCCATGTTGGCGCGTCACGTTTGAAGATTCCTCCGGCATTAAAGATGTTCTCTTTCGCGCGTATACATCCACGCCTTATATGTCGATGATCCGCGCCAACCAGGTATCCATCTGCGCAATGTGAAAGTCATCATAGCTTACTTAGTATAGACCCAGATCCCAACCCAACTTTGAGAATAGATTAACGGCGTCATTTTTTTTTATAGCGCGATGAGAGTCTGGCTTTGCCGCAGCGCGTTAACGCCGATAACGGCCCACCCCTAATTTTTTTTGTTGTTGTTTTTTTTTACTGTGGTTTCAGACACCATGAGGTGGCACCGGTGCCAGAAGTCGTGAACGACATGAAGGTAAGCCTAAAATGTTTGAACTTTTAAAGATGAAAATGTGGCAGAGAGGTGGGAGGTCACGGCCTTTGGTTCGTTTGTTTCAGATGGAGCTAAAAATGAGGTTGATGGAACTCAACTGGGAAAAGTCTCAGTGTGTCCAAATTAGAACCGCTGACGAGCGGATGAAAAATGAAGTGCGGGTATGAAGCTTTAAGTGTATCTGTGAACAATTAGTGATGCAACTTTCGTATTTGACTTTTGTTTAAAAGTCCAACCCTGTTTGTCCTTTAGCTGAAGAAGCAGAGGCTGAAGGAGAAGATCGAAGCCGATGTCGGTGCCTTGGTTCAGTTCTTGCTAGATGAGAGGGACTCCCTTCTTGAGAGCTTGGATGCAGAGGAAGTGGACGCTTTGGCTGTCATAGAAGACAACCTAAAGATGGTAGAAACAGAAACTGCAGCTGCAGACAAATCCATAGCGGAGATCCACAGCCACATTAGTGGCAAAACAAGCTTTGAGGTGTGTGCTTACTTAATGATGTCAGTTGCCACAACTGGAAGTCCTGTTATGGTAAGTTTGTGACAGTTCTTTAAAAAATGTAACTTTTTTCTTTTCCATCAGAGCCTTGCTGCGACATTCAATGAGTAAGTGGCTCCCAGTTTTAACATTTTCTTCAAACTTTTGAGAAAATCAACAGATCTTTTAACTTTTTTCATATTTTTTCCTTAGAGCGATCCACTGCAAGCCTTTCTCCACACTAGAGCCAGTTGATTGTCCGACCGATTTCACAGACTTCTCAGGACCCTTCCAGCTTATCATGTGGAAGAAGATGATGCACGTGTTGCATACTAGTGAGTTAATGCTATTAAACTCGTATAGCATATTAAGTACTAAGGTTGGGCAGTTGGACGGATTATTCGACCATCTCGATTGGCCGTTTGTTGATAATTTTTTATGCCTATGAATGAGTCTCGCAGATGTGGCTCTTAGAAGTTCTATGTTGAATCAGTGTCTTTTATGCAACGCTTTCTATGTACATATGCATATTATACATCATTTGAAAGCTAAGATTCTTGATTCCAATCATATATGGCAGCCAAGGATTCAGAAGCTCAGACTAATGTTCAACTCACCGTTAGAAGCCTCATATCACTGACAGAATAGAGCCATCAACAGCAACAAGACTGGTCCATTTACATCCAGAAGTCTAGTCAAATAAACATGTTTTGAATTCTCAATCCAACATAATTTACAGCGTAAAATGTTCTAAATTTGTCACAGGTGTGCCTCTGTGATAACTTCAAATAGTATTTCTAAGTTGGCTTCAAACATTTGAGTGACATCTTCAAACGCGGTTGAAGGATTGGGGCTAAATCATCAGCTATTGGTTGACAGATCAGAAGTACTGCCCTTTTTTATTACACGTGTAGTGCAAATCAACTGCGGTGCAGTTTATAGTTGATTGACACATCAAATAACCAATGAAGTTAGGAAAACAATGTCCCAGGTGGGCCCTTCGTGGCCTACTTCTGCAAACTGAATAAGACTGGTTGTGATTGGTGGAGTGCTCCATACGGCACAATTTATCTCCCATAGTCTTTATTTTTTTATTTTTTTGCCCAGTCTTAGAAAGCACACTGAAACATGTTTCTGGTCAAAGCTGAATGCTGACTGGAAAAAAAATACATGAATATTCCTTAAGCGTGTAATTTTAGCACTAATGTGCTGACAGTTGATGTTCGAAAAGATCTTAATGTGCTCTTGTCCACTGTGATGACATGGCTCGTTGTTATCGCGTCAGACCCGTGCCACAACCCGTGCACGCGCATTGGGTCCACAGCGCGCGTGTGAACGGGACTCGCGAGCGAAAATATACATGGCAGCGCACGCGTGAACGGGACTCGCGAGCGAAAATATACATGGCGAGAGGTCATTTGTGCACTGAGAGGGAGCAAACTGTGTCTGTGAGCGCACAAGGATGTGCACAAGTGACAAACCTGCGTGCGCGCGTTGCCAACCAGCACACGGCAGAGGAAAACGTGCGTGCGCGGCAGCCTCTCTGCGCGCTCGGCAGCCTCTGCGCGCTCGGTTTCTAATTCCGCTCGCTCGGCTGTGAGGGCTTTTGGCACTCTGGAGGCGTGGCCTGTGGCAGATCTTCCCTGTCCTCTGATTGGTTAGTTTACCCCGCACTTTACTCTCTACCTATCTATATAAAAAAATCTGAGATTCAGCAGTTGCTGTCGTAGCTCAGCTGGGAGAGCGGGTGACTCTCACTCTGGAGGATCCAGGTTCGAGTCCGGCCAAGGAACATAGAGTTGATGTCATATTATTCTTTCCTAATTCCTGTGATATTATTTTACAGTTGTGACCGTTCAACTGTCATTAAACGTCCGAATGTTTGCTGGGCAGTGTTTTAAAAAGTGCACATAAGCTAGATGGTTTAAACCAGGTAAAAATAGACTTGTGGGTGTAGGTATGCTCAAGTTTAAAAAGTTCTTGCCTCATTAATGTATTGTTTATTTTTTTCAGCATTTAATTGACAAATTATTCTTTCAAATAATTAATTGATGAGTTACATAATTGTCCATTTAGAATTGTTGAATGGACTGAGTCAAGTTTGGTGCACTTTATATATTTCAAAACATGTTTTTTTTATTTTAATTATGCATATAAATAATTTTAATGTTAATTTATTGAAATATTTCTATTTTTTCATTACCTCACCCTTGTTTTGACAAAAACAAGACCTTGCTGGATAATATCACGGAGAAACTATTTGTTCACAGTACTTGGCTCAGTGAGGATCTGTGTACCAAAGGAGGAGATACTCAGAAATCTGTCTGCAGATTGTTACAACCCAGACTGGAAGTGGTGGGCTGTAATAAGAAAGGAGACCAAACAGAGGAGTGGGGGGTTCAACAACTGATTTATTTAACCAAAGTAAGTGAGGTCCCTGCTGAGGGACATCCGAGTAAAACCTTGAGATGGCCATTTTCTGTTCACTAACTTGCTTTAGTAAATCCTTACTGTGGTTAAATAAATCAGTTGTTGAACCCCCACTCCTCTGTTTGGTCTCCTTTCTTATTACAGCCCACCACTTCCAGTCTGGGTTGTAACAATCTGCAGACAGATTTCTGAGTATCTCCTCCTTTGGTACACAGATCCTCACTGAGCCATGTACTGTGAACAAATAGTTTCTCCATGATATTATCCAGCAAGGTCCCGTTTTTGTCAAAACAAGGGTGAGGTAATGAAAAAATAGAAATATTTCATTAAATTAACATTTAAATTATTTATATGCATCATTAAAATAAAAAAAAAACATGTTTTGAAATATATAAAGTGCACCAAACTTGACTCAGTCCATTCAACAATTCTAAATGGACAATTATGTAACTCATCAATTAATTATTTGAAAGGATCATTTGTCAATTAAATACTGAAAAAAAAAAAACAATACATTAATGAGGCAAGAACTTCTCTCTCTCTCTCTCTCTCTCTCTCTCTCTCTCTCTCTCTCTCTCTCTCTCTCTCTCTCTCTCTCTCTCTCTCTCTCTCTCTGTCTCTCTCTCTCTCTCTGTCTCTCTCTCTCTCTCTGTCTCTCTCTCTCTCTCTCTGTCTCTCTCTGTCTCTGTCTCTCTCTCTCTCTCTCTCTCTCTCTCTCTCTCTCTCTCTCTCTCTCTCTCTCTCTCTCTCTCTCTCTCTCTCTCTAGAAGCCCCACTCTAAGGGAGTTTGCAGTGTATTAGTGAGTCATATATTGTACAACCACAGTCATAAAGTTTTCAATCAGTAGTTTTATTTCAGTATGTATTTTTCCAGTATCACAAAAAATGTAATTTTATATGGTTAAAACCATCTAGCTTATGTGCACTTTTTAAAACACTGCCCAGCAAACATTCGGACGTTTAATGACAGTTGAACGGTCACAACTGTAAAATACCTGAAATTAAGAAAAATTAGCATGACATCTACTGCATTTTCCTTGCCCGGACTCGAACCTGGATCCTCCGGGGCGAGAGTCACCCGCTCTCCCAGCTGAGCTATGCCAGTAACTACTGAATAGCAGACTTTTTTATATAGATGGGTAGAGGGTAAAGTGCGGGGTACACTAACCAATCAGAGGACAGAGAAGATCTGCCACAGGCCACGCCTCCAGAGTGCCAAAAGCCCTTACAGCCGAGCGAGCAGGAGTCAGAAACCGAGCGCGCAGAGAGGCTGCCGAGCGCGCACAGAGGCTGCCGCGCGCGCACGTTTTCCTCTGCCGTGTGCTCGTTGACAACGCGCGCACGCAGGTTTGTCACTTGTGCACATCCTTGTGCGCTCACAGACACAGTTTGCTCCCTCTCAGTGCACAAATGACCTCTCGCCATGTATATTTTCGCTCGCGAGTCCCGTTCACACGCGCGCTGTGGACCCAATGCGCGTGCACGGGTTGTGGCACGCTTTAAACGCCATACGTTGTCTCTTTGTGCAGTGCCTCAGAATCTGACTCTAGACCCAGATACCGCTCACCCAAACCTGCTAATCTCAGACTTTGACACCAAAGTGGAGGAGGGTCGCCTTCGCAGCCAGGAACCGGACCTGCCAGGCCGCTTCACCCGGTTCTGTGGTGTCCTTGCCACAGCTCAGTATGCAAGCGGGCAGCATTACTGGGAGGTGGACGTGAGGGACAAAGGTGTGTGGTACCTGGGAGTCACCACTGAATGCAGCAACAGGAAGGGCTTTGTCAATCTCACGCCATCCTCTGGGTATTGGAGCCTTTGTCTGCAGGACCGTCTGTATGCCAATGTGGAGGATGGTCGTATTCCTGTTGCCGACTACTGGAATTCTCCTCGTGTTGGTGTGTACTTGGACTATGACAATGGTTTTCTTAGCTTCTACGATGCTGTGACCATGAAGAGACTGTTCATGTTTGAAACCTACTTTGAAGAGCCCGTCTACCCTTTCTTCAGCCCAGGGAAGAACGATCCCGGGAGCAGGCTGCAGATATGCCACTATTATTAACACAAGTGGAATTAATTGTTCTATTAGAACTTGAAGCGTTGGCGGAGTGTGTTTTCTGCATTTGAGGTGTTACTTGTTGGTCTTAAGTCTAAAGACAGATGCGTTCACATGAAATGAGCATTAAGTGGGTGTCATCCAAAAGGATTTTTCTAGTTATCTTTTAACTCAAGTCACACACTGTAGGCTTATACTACTTATTACTGCAGTGTGTGTGTGTGTGTGTGTGTGTGTGGGTGGGGGGTGGGGGGGGGGGCAGTCATACTTCACTGTGTCTGCGGTGGTGCAGTTGCCTCAGATGCTCTTGTTGATTGGAGCAGAGATACTTTATTTCCTGTTGACAGCATATTTGCCAACCAGCTTTACAGCCAGGCAGAGGGCCGATCGGTTTAAAGAACCCATGACATCACATTGATAGTTGGCGGTTATGTTGGCCTGCTCATCCAGGGGTTTCAGAAGCTGTAGTGACATAGTTTAAAATTTTTGTTTTTTATTATCCATTCACATAATGTGAATATAGCCATTCCTGTTATATATATGTATATATATATTTTTTGTTTTCCCACAATTTCTTTGTGCACATTTTTGAGATGCAGCATGCTTGAAATTAGAAAACGATGGAACATTTAATCCTCCTCTTAATGGAATGAGACAGTAAAACACAAGGGATGCTTTCACCCAACTTTTAGACATTCCTTTGACATTTGTAATTATTCAGCCTGGTGGGTTTTCACCAAAATGACAATGAGTGCTGAATGAAAACATTAGTGTCACCTTACTTGCTTTTTAAGCTAAATGAATAGCAGCTTGTCCTGTTGTCTTTTTTATTCTGCTTTCTAAGTTTATTTTATATTTGAATCAATTTAATATGATTTTGTGTGTTACAAACATGTACTTTTATGTACAATCTTACAGTTTCTTTTACCCATATAAATGATTACTTGCAAGCTTTTATTTTGCCATTTATTGCTTGTGTATCTAAAAGTGTGTTTACTCGCACACTAGATTTGTTTTGTTTTTATTTTTTTGTGTTTATGGGGGGTCATCAAAATAGTTTGTTTTTTATGCTTTAAGTTGTTTATAGAATGGTGTCATGGGCAACTTTCAAGCTGCTTGTGTGTTATTTTTCAGACTTTATTGTCTTAACGTGGCGAAACTGCTTTGTGAGGATTTTCTCATTTCCTCTAAGAATGTGTACATTTTTGATCATATTAACCCAATTTGAATAAATCTTTCCATTAATGTGTTCAGCTGAGCAGAGTCCTTTTCTGTTGCCTTAAATGTGCTGGAAACTTAAATATGAAAGTACCAATAAGGTTAATTTGAACAATACACCATATAGAATATTTACGCTGTAATGTTTCGGTAGCTAGTTTAAGCTAAGGATAATTGGTTGATTGCCTTTTTAAACCCATTTTAGCCTTTTCTTTTGGAAAATGTTAAGGGTCTGTATTTTGCAAAACTTACCTTTTGCGTTCTGTGCTGCCATGTGGGTCTTTACTTCCTCTATAAAAATGCCAAAAATCTATTTTCTGTCAGTGTTTGGCTTTAGGAACTGTTTCAAAAAGTCCCAGATGAGGAGCTTACCATAGAATGTGGTCTTCTCCAGACCGGAGGAGCAGTGGTTCTACTCTGAATAGTACACCTCTAATATGCAGGAGAGAAGCTGTTGCTCTACTCAAAGCCCCTCCCACTATTTCAAGCCCCTCCCATTATTAGAGCAGAGCTTAATAGTGAGTGAGTGGGTGTGGCCTGCACCGGCTTGTTTTCTTAAAGTGACAGCCCTAAAACGGCTCATTTTGGAAGGTACTGAAAAAAGTCAAGAATGAAACTGCTGAAATCGCTTTATGTGAGGAACTTGGAGCAAAGAACTTTATAAACATGTTTCGTTTCGACCATTCAACTATTACAACTTAAGAAAATAAATCTTAAAGTAGTGAAGATATACTGAACTTGTTTTGCATATATGGCAGACAAACATGGCAGACTAGTACAAGTACATGAGAAACCACATTAGACTTGTTTGATGTTGCTGATTCAGTTCTCTTATCCAGAACATTTAAGGAGGAGGTGAGAAGCAGTTCTTTCCATCTTCTCCTCACCCAGCCTTGGTTATGACTCAGCAGTGACTTTTTTTCTGCCTCTTTATTAAAATGTGAGCATAATGAAAGGCTGTAAAAATAACCAAAATGTCCCACGGACATTCACGTGAACCAGATTATCTGTGATCGAAACAGACTTGGTAAAATATGTGGTGAAACTCTGATTTTGGGACGTTTCATTATTGAATCTTAAACTTTAGCAGGAAGCAAATGGAAATGCAAATGATGTTTGTTCTGATTAGACTAATTAAAACTATTTTTGTACGCTCCACTACTGCCTCATGCTGTGCTCTGTAGGGGGTGATGTGGTATCTATGGCAACAACTGGTATTATCAACATAAAAGGAAGCTAATCAATTGATTTGTGAATGCTGCCAGGTGGTGATTTATGTGATCACAATGCTGAAAGTCATCTGGCTGACTTATAAACAGATAAAAAAAAATAAGTATGTTGTGATTTGAATTAGTTTTCTAGTGTTAAAGCTAATAAATCATTATTCAGCTAACAATCATCAAGACTGATGTAGTATACTAACAATCAAATTATGAGCAATCAAATGCGTACATGAGCTAACACTTTTCTGGTTTCAGGACTGGAGAATTATGGTGGAAAACAGAAGGACCCGAGAGGAGAGACATGTTTAAGCTGTTGCAGATAAGAAATGGCCATAAAATTGGCCAAGAACATTAGCAGTAGCTTTGGCTAGCATTAGCAGTAGCCAGAGGTATGGACTTGAGTCACATGACTTGGACTCGAGTCACTAATTTAATGACTTCTGACTTGACTTGATAAAATCTATAAAGACTTACAACTTAACGTGGACTTGAACACCAATGACTTGCAACTTGAATTGATTTGCATCTGTTGACTTGATGATGACTTGAGCAAATTTGATGTTTTAGCACAAAAGTGGAACAACATGGACATAAATCAGTCTTCATTCTGGGTTTGATCGTGTACTGCTAAATGCAGCAGCACTTTATTTATAATCAGTTTCAGTTGCACTTTCTGCTTGTTTGAGCAAATTAATGAAGCTTTGAGAATCTTTATTTCTGGAATTTATTTATTGTTATCATTAAATTGAAGTTGGACAGATGACTTGATTACAACTTGAAAATTCAAAATTTAAGTACTTGGACTTGACTTGGACTTCCAGATCATTGACTTTGGACTAGACTTGGACTTGGTTGTCTTTGACTTGGTCTTTACTCGAGACTTGACTGGAAAGACTTGTGACTTACTTGTGACTTGCAAAGCAGTGACTTGGTCACACCTCTGGCAGTAGCTCAAGCTAGTGTTAGCAGTGGCTCAGGTTAGCGTTAGCAGTAGCTCAGGCTAGTGTTAGATGTAGCCCTGGCTAGTGATAGCAGTGGCTCGGGCTAGTGTTAGAAGTAACTGGCTAGTGATAGAAGTAGCTTGGGCTAGTGTTAGCAGTAGCTCAGGTTAGAAATAGCTCATGCTAGTGTTAGAAGTAACTCTGGCTAGTGTTAGAAATAACTTCGGCCAGTGTTAGCAGAAGCTCAGGTTAGCGTTAGCAGTAGCTCAGGCTATTGTTAGAAGTAGCTCTGGCTAGTGTTAGCAGGACAAGAGTGTACCGGTGTCGGTACAGTATCTGCTCGGGTGCAAGATCGGCTCGGGGTCCTTCGACTGCCGATGACGTCAAAGTACGGCAAACCCACTCGGACAAAGTACACTACACATCTATACTGTTGGAAAGAATTTAGCAGTTTCGTTATTAAAATAATGTTTCTTAAGACGTAAGTTTGTGTTTATAATAGTATTTGTAAAATAAAACACTATATTTGATTCATGTTGAACTCCTCCTTGAGCACATCCCTTGAAGGATCATAGGTATTAGCAACACCTGTGAAATTGTATTTGCAGGAAAGAAGTGTGTCCCGTTTATTGAAGTATTTGTGTTGAGTTTTTGACGTCTTGTCCATGCGTAGTTCAGTTACGCTCATAGCTGCTAGCCAAAGCTCTGGAGTTAACAGTTTTCTGGCTTTACTAAAATACCTGTCTGTACTTATTTGATTGATGGTAGTTTTACTTTCTATTAGACTCCAAATGTAATCATTTGGCACGTTTCTAATTCATAATTTGTAATAATGTAATCGGCGATATTAGCATTAGCATTCCTATGGGTTTTTCCATGTATATTAGCATTGCGCTAACCACTCGCTGCCAAATTGCAGCCTTTGCCATTAGAAAATCTCCTTTTATCACATCGCAATTTAATTGCACATGCAGTTAATCGTTCAGCACTAATATACTTGCAGCTCTATGCTAAAAGTGTATTTTCAAAGAGGTAATGATGGATTTCTTTGTAAAAGTTGTCCATCTTTCCAATAGAAAAAATTTGCCTGGACCAACGTCACGTGATAACAACGTTACGTGATTACGTAATTCCGTAAGGTTCATGTTCAGCCAATTAACTACATAGACGTCATCGGCAGTCGACCGACCCGAGCCGATCTTGCACCCGAGCAGATCTTGTACCGACACCGGAACGGAATGACTCTTTTTTTCCCTTCTTTGCTCAGAACTAGTCTGCATGAGATCTCAAGGTCTCATGCATTCCTTTTAACCTGATTATTTTCAGCTCAACAGAAGAACGAAGAATGAACTCTTTTCTTTTAATTAATCAAAGAACTCTATTTTAATGAAGCTAATCCATCAAAGTGTTAGTCAATAAATAAGATGGGACCGACCTGTGAAATCAAAATATTAATTACTTTTTTATGATCCTATAGAAATAATAAGTACTGTGACTTTAAGTGCTCCCACAGGACTCATTTCACTTAGTGTTAAAAAGACATAACACATTACTTTCACTGATCCAATCAGAATCTTACAGATCTGACGGAGGCGTGCTTCTGATGGTGTTTGGTAATTTTCATTCGACAAAAAACCATAACTTCCAAGGTATAAAACTTTGCCACGTCAGCTCTAATGCCAGTTCAAAGCGTTCCAGAGAAAGTGACGGAGTGGCCAATCCTGATCTAAGCTCTTTAACCGAAAGAACCAATGACAAGCTGAAAAATCCAGTTGCTATAACAACCAGCGGCAACAACAGCTCCTTTCAGAATAAAAGCTCCATCCACCGACCCAGGCTTGGGTCTGACCAGACGCCAATAAACGTGTCGTGTGCCGGAAGTAACTCAAGACGGGTTTGATCGAAACCGCAGCTTTTCCTACCGGCTCGGTTCCAGAGAGGGTTCACTGGACCTCGATATTCCTGATCTACAGAGGACTTCCACTGAAGGCAAGGTAGGCTGGCATGATGAAGTCTCATGTTTTTCTGAAGCTATCCAAAGCTTAATGCAAAACAACATCTTCAGTTCCCATCAGAACAATCGCTTCTTCTGATTTGCTGGTTCTGATTGGATCAGTGAAAGTAATGTGTTATGTCTTTTTAACACTAAGTGAAATGAGTCCTGTGGGAGCACTTAAAGTCACAGTACTTATTATTTCTATAGGATCATAAAAAAGTAATTAATATTTTGATTTCACAGGTCGGTCCCATCTTATTTATTGACTAACACTTTGATGGATTAGCTTCATTAAAAAAGAGTTCATTCTTCGTTCTTCTGTTGATCTGAAAATAAGCAGGTTATAGATGGAATGCATGAGACCTTGAGACTATCTCTTATGCCGACTAGTCCTGAGCAAAGAAGGGAAAATAAGCGTCATTCCGTTCCGTTACAAGCGTAAGTACGATCACATTACCCCGGTCCTGGCAGCCCTTCACTGGCTGACCGTTGATGTAAGGATTCGTTTTAAGATTCTTTCGTTGGTTTTTAAAACGTTGAATGGTTTGACGCCTTCTTACTTGGCGTTGTTGCTTCAGCCACACACCCCTGCCCGGTCACTCCGCTCGGAGAACCTTATGCTGCTCTCAGTCCCAAGACCGCACCTAAAAACGTGTGGTGATAGGGCCATTGCCGTGGCATGTCCTTAGCTTTAGAACGAGCTTCCTCTCAGCATAGGGGTCTCCACTTCTGCGGCGGTTTTTAAGGCAAGGCTGAAAAACAATTTTTATGATCTGTCTTTTAATCTTTCTAAAGGGTTTCCTTATATTTTTGTGCTTTAAGTCTGTTTATCTGATCCATTGTTTTTATTCTTCTTTTATTTGACTCGATGTTTTTTCATGCTTTTATGTTTTATTGATCTGTGAAGCAACTTGGCAGCATGCTTTTTACCTGTAAGGCGCTATATAATAAAAGTTGAGTTGATGTGCTTATCATTTAGTGGAGGTTGCAGTCCCAGGGATTTTTGACCCTAATGACCATCCGTTGGTAAGGTCTTACTCGAACTTAATAATGTTGCTTGCCTGCAATGGCTTACGTATGTACTGCCCCCTATTGCCAGCAAAAATACACACTGTCACTTTAAAACCTACAATTTCCAAGAGCAGTTGACGGTGTCCTAAACACGCAAACATACGTTTAGTAGATATATTGTATTTATTTGAATGTGCTTAATTCATTTCTCACAGACATGTCAGACATATTTAGAGGCTCAGGTGTAAAAACAAAAACCTGGCACTCAGAGGCTCTAACGAATGGAAGCCAGTTTTTCAAATGAAAAATGGAAAACAGAATATGAAAGACACAAAATAATAAACAGTCACGTAAAAAGAAAAAGGATTAGCTTGTGTTGAAGTTACTTTTGGAGCCATATAGAAAAGAAAATGACAATTGCAAGACATAAAAGTACAAAGCAAATGAATACAAATACTGTAAAAATACATAATCAAGGTGCCTGACCGCTACAATGACACCATGATTGTAATGTACAATACACTTTTTTGATTTTGTTAAACCATGAACTTTACCTAGAGGCATATATTACTCTTGCAAATGAAATTAAACACATTTAATGTCTGTATTCTGTGCAAAATGTTGAATCACAACGTTACATTTTGGTAGAAGGAAAAGTCAGTGTTTAACTGAACTCTGTGCAGGAAATGAAACAGGAACAACTCTTAATGCTACGAGTTACAACGTTTGGCAAGAAAGGAAACAATGCAACAGTTAGAAAAATATTTTTACAACAAATTATATGGAAAAAAAATACAAAGTAAAAAAAATAAAAATAATGTTTTTACATCTTTGTTCAAACGTTTCAGTCATTCAACTGGCTGCTGCTTGGCATGATCTTCATTCTGATTAAATGCTGGATATAACGTGGGCATTGACATCCCTATATACATCTAAATATGCTTTTGTACAACTGCTATATATACATTTGTATTTGGGATTTTGAAAAGTGCAAAGAATCATGGGTCAAAACAAAATAAATCTGGGTTTTAGAATAAACTGTCAATGAAGGACAGCTGAAGTTTTAGTGGAGCTTATTGAGATGCCGCGCTTCTTTCAAAGTAACTCATAAGTCAATTTATGAGGGAAGAGCAGAAGTTGATCAGAGCAATAAGGTGCAGAATGGGAAGAATTACAGGTTCGTATATCATCTGTAATGTTTACTGATCTAAAGATCTGGAAAGTGGCAGCAGCAAGAACATTTTCAGAGCACAGTGATATTGATCAGTGCTCATGGAAAAGAATGAGCTTTATCACATTATTCAGCATCACTTATCCTGGTTTCTTTGCTTTTCACCCTCATAACTCAAGTGCATTGCCAGTTTGAAGCTGGCCACCTGTCTTCTGGTGCATTTAGAGAAAACAAGCCAAAATATTATGAGAAAGCTGTTAAATTTAATTCTTACCTCCTTTGTAAAAGGTGGCACAGGAGTTAAGTGCTTTACCTGTAATCGGAAGGTTGCAGGTTCAAGCCCCGCTCAGTCTGTCGCTGTGTCCTTGGGCAAGACCACCTTGCCTGCTGGTGGTGTTCAGAAGGACCAGTGGAGCCTGTGTGTGGCAGACTCGCCTCTAACAGTGAGCTGGCTACAAAGTAGCTCATCACCACCAGAGTGTGAATGTGTGAATGGGTGAATGACTGATTGTGTTGTAAAGCACCTTGGGAGGTTCCAGGACTCCAGAAGAGGCTATATCAAATACAGGCTATTTACCATTTACAGTACAGGTGCTGGCCAGTAAATTAGAATATCATCAAAAGGTTGAAAATATTTCAGTAATTCCATTCAAAACGTGAAACTTGTACATTATATTCATGCAATGCACACAGACCAATGTATTTCCAATGTTCATTACATTTAAATTTGATATTCATAAGTGACAACTAATGAAAACTCCAAATTTGGTATCTCAAAAAATTAGAATATTCTGAAAAGGCTGAATATAGAAGACACCTGCTGCCACTCTAATCAGCTGATTTACTCAAAACACCTGCAAAGGCCTTTAAAAGGTCCCTCAGTCTTGTTTTGAAGGCACCACAATCATGGGGAAGACTTCTGACTTAACAGCTGTCCAAAAGACAATCATTGACACCTTGCACAAGGAGGGCAAGACACAAAAGGTGATTGCTAAAGAAGCTGGCTGTTCGCAGAGCTCTGTGTCCAAGCACATTAACAGACAGGCGAAGGGACGGAAAAAATGTGGTAGAAAAAAGTGTACAAGCTCTAGGGATAACCGCACCCTGCAGAGAATTGTGACGACAAACCCATTCAAAAATGTGGGGGAGATCCACAAAGAGTGGACTGCAGCTGGAGTCAGCGCTTCAAGAACCACCACGAGGAGACTCATGAAAGACATGGGATTCAGGTGTCGCATTCCGTGTGTCAAGCCACTCTTGAACAAGAAACAGCGCAAGAAGCGTCTCGCCTGGGCCAAGGACAAAAAGGACTGGACTGATGCTGAGTGGTCCAAAGTTATGTTTTCTGATGAAAGCAAGTTCTGCATTTCCTTTGGAAATCAAGGACCCAGAGTCTGGAGGAAGAGCGGAGAAGCACAGAATCCACGTTGCATGAGGTCCAGTGTAAAGTTTCCACCGTCAGTGATGGTGTGGGGTGCCATGTCATCTGCCGGTGTTGGCCCACTCTGTTTCCTGAGGTCCAGGGTCAATGCAGCCGTCTACCAGGAAGTTTTAGAGCACTTCATGCTTCCTGCTGCTGACCAACTTTATGGGGATGCAGACTTCACCTTTCAACAGGACTTGGCACCTGCACACAGTGCCAAAACCACCAGCACCTGGTTCAAGGACCATGGTATCCCTGTCCTTGATTGGCCAGCAAACTCGCCTGACCTTAACCCCATAGAAAATCTATGGGGTATTGTGAAGCGGAGGATGCAATACGCTAGACCCAACAATGCAGAGGAGCTGAAGACGACTATCAGAGCAACCTGGGCTCTCATAACACCTGAGCAGTGCCACAGACTGATCGAGTCCATGCCACGCCGCATTACTGCAGTTATTGAGGCAAAAGGAGCCCCGACTAAGTATTGAGTGCTATACATGCACATTCTTTTCATGTTCATTCTTTTCAGTTGGCCAACATTAGAGAAACAAACATTTTTTCATTGGCCTTTAGAATATTCTAATTTTCTGAGATACCAGATTTGATGTTTTCATTGGTTGTCACCTATAAATATCAAAATTAAACGTAATAAACATCGGAAATACATTGGTCTGTGTGCATTGCATGAATATAATGTACAAGTTTCACGTTTTGAATGGAATTACTGAAATATTTTCAACCTTTTGATGATATTCTAATTTACTGGCCAGCACCTGTAGTAGGTATAGCTTAAAGGCAGAAATACTAAAAGATGCAGGTACATTTTAAAACAAGACAATTTATTCCTGAGAAATAAATCGTTCTGTCTTTTCTTCTACTGATTACTTTTGAGTTTGTGTTCAGTGCAAAGAGGTTCCAATTTTCAGCACATCTTCCTTTTTTCATCTTTATTACAGTAATATTTTATTATGTGTTAAATATTAGAACCACTAAAGAGCGTTGAGATTAAATGTGGAAATGGGGTCTTTGTAAAGTGTGCAGGCACGTCGTACTCTCCGTCTACAAGCAGGACGGGACAATGCCAGCAGGACGTGGTGGTGCCTCCCCTCGTCCTACTGCAGGTATCGGTAAACTTTGAAGCAGTGATTGCCGGAGTCTGCCACAGCCACATGTCCTTCTGAGGTGAGAGCGAGACCCTGAGGGCCATAGAGCGGATCTGCCGAGGTATTGATGTAGGACAAGAAGGACCCAGTGCTGTCAAACACCTGACACAAATAGCAAACAAGGGTCATATTATTGTGTGAGAATTAAAGTTAAAGGTGCAATAAGGACAACCTGTGGTCAAATATGGGTTCTGTAGTTAAGAACTCCCTCAGTTTAGGGATCAGTGGCAGGAGATTCTAGACGATGAGTGAAGGAAATACATTTCACTGAAAAAATTGAGTTGTTGGTAATTTTAAAAAAATGTCGGCTCTAAAAGGTACTTTTTTGTCGTTCACTTAGCATTGTTGGTTTAACGTTATCCTCTAGCCTTCTTTACCTGAGATTCGGCCTGCTCTTTTTACTTTTGTTTTTAAAATTCTGGGGATGGGAGGGAATGTGGGTATGCAGGGCCTTTTTAATTTGTTAAGCACTTAGAGTTACATGCATTGTAAGATTAAGTGCTATATAAATAAAGTTTGATTTGATTTGATTTACTATCTTCCATTCCTTCCAAAACGCTGCTCTTGCCCAGCCGGTATCAAATTACAAACGCTAGTGGAGTCTTTGCATTGAAGACCTGGCAACCTTACGGGCTCACGTGTGGGCTATATTGGCTCTGGAACCAGGAAGTATTGAAGCGGGACAGATTATAAACAATGACTATGGCCGTTTATCAGTATGCGTACTTGTCTGAATTTGCGTACTCGAGACTCCATCAACATTGGCCAAGGACAGTTCCAATCCGAAGTAAGTATCATGGTAAATATGCTCAAAGTACCCGAATGTGTTCTTTCTCTGCTCATTGTTTCGAGGATGCATCAACGCATCCTTTTGTGGACTTAGGCATTAGGGAGTCCCATAATGCATTGCGTTATACTGATAAGTGTTCAAAAGTAGAACAAATATTATATGAATAACATTTATTCATTGTTTTTTGTTATTTAAGGGACAAACTAGACTTTAATTTTGTTTCAGGTCATTTTTTTAACCAAAGCTTGAGCAGTGCTTGTTGCCATGACACAATGAAGTACGGTCCTGTTCCAAATGCTGTCCTCGTCCTCTCGTTCTCAGTAGAACTACATTTCTGCTCTTCTTGCCAAGAATGTACTTATCAAGTATGCAAAAACGTACTAGCATACTTTGGTATTGAGAAACAACCAAATACTACATTCCTTTGTGGCCTTTTAAAAATAAAATAAAACCTGGCAACCCCCAGCCGATTGAGAGGGAAATACGTTTCAATATAATCGTCCTTCCAATGTGACTGAGACATTAGAATGTTTTGTTATTGTTTCATTGTAGAATTGTTACTTATTGCACCTTTAAACTAAGAAAATTGGACTTAATGTGCAGATTTAAAACTGCTGCACCATTAATAAGAAAATCACTGAGCTGCAACAGCAGAAATGTACATTTGAAATGCTAAAAGCAGATTAGACATACCTGTATTCTGCTGTTTCCCCAGTCTGCTACTATGATGTTTCCGTTGGCGTCCACAGCCACACCAGTGGGAGCGTTGAACTGGCCATTTCCTTCACCATGAGAGCCAAATTTGAATAAGAACTCCCCATCTGCACTGTAAACCTGGAACAGAAACTCAGATCACGTGTCTGTGTGCATTAATGCTAAATTGTGCATTTGAACAAAAGCAGTCCTTTGTTTCACCTTCACAGAGTGATTGTGAAAATCTGTCACTATGATTTCATTCTTGTTGTTCACCGCGACAAAGTGTGGACCTGGGAGAAGAGAAGCAGGACGTTTATTTTGTCTTATTTTGTGGACCAGCACAAACAACATGGGTAAGATTTTTAAACGTTTTTCCTCACTTGAGAGCCAGTTTTCCTTTAATACATCATTCAGAATACCATATAATAGGAGATAAATCATAGAGAAGCTGAAGGTTTTGGGATTTCTTTCCACTTGAATTGATTAGTGCATGCTCTGTCTGACCACACAGCCTGTGCATGATTTTCTAATTGGAGTTTTATATTAGAAACCAGTTGATGACAAACCAAATAAAAGCAGTTATTGGTTTAAGATGCAAAATATTAAATTAAAATACTTTTAAATACATTTTACGTTTGTAATAAAAAGTGTTTTCTCGACGGTTTGATCCTTCACTTTTAGAAGAATAGACCCTCTTACATTTTTTTATCAATATGACCAGCTTAGGTGGCCTACTGGTAGAGTGAGATCAGGGTTCAAATCCCGGTCAGGTCTTACCGAAGACCTGTGATGCATGAATTACGAAATCTTCAACCATGATTTTTTAAACAATTTTTTTCATTCATCTTTAGGTGTGAATGAAACAAATTTCAACAAATATTTTTTGTAACGATTAATAAATTACAAATAGTTTATTACATGTCCACCTCAGCAGTGGACAGCGTGCATTCTGAACATGAAATAAGTTGGCTTGGCTTACTGAAGTTTGGAGGGGCTCAAATACAATAAAGTCTTCAACAGCTATGCTTCATAACAAAAAAATAAAAATAAAATAAACTATTTTGAGTACCTGTCCACTGTAGTGACCATTATGCATCAAAGACTTTAAAAATGGGACCCAATGCCTCCCTGCTTGACACTCAGCTTTAAGGGGTTGGAATGGGGGGGCTTAAACTACCACTTTATTCCTGAGCGCAGCCACAGTTGCAGCTGTGTGGGACTACACTGCTGCATGGCGGCGCAGTCGTTAGCAGCAAAAAGGTTGCAGGTTCGAAACCCAACTGTGGTCTTTCTGCATGGAGTTGCATGTGTGGGTTTCCTCCAGATACTCCAGTTTCCCCCACAGATCACAACATGTCCTACAGGTTATAAATTGTACGTTGCTTTGGATAAAAGTGTCTGCCAAATAAATAAAGAAACAAACTAATGGGACTTTAACTTTATGACAGAGGTCAGGGTATTGGCATTCTGACATCAAAGAATGGTGTTGTTTCAACATTTGTCCAACTATGTGAAGGGGCTAACGACAAATGTTGAAATACGATCTGAGAAAACTCATTTTGAGGAATAGCAACAAACTCCATTTTACCAAATGGGAGAACGAAACATAAAATCATTGGCTAAAACAAACATCATCAAAAGCTCCATTTTGCCGCAGCTACAATGTCTTCATGCCATTGTTGAACCATTGCAGTAAGTTGTGTGATATATTTGTGAACTCTTTTTAGTAATGTTGATGGTTTATCTTGCCTCTTTTTGATCTTTGGCTTCAGAATAATATGCAAATTTCTCGCCCTCTTGTGGACATTTAGTGGTATTACAGATAAGGTGTTCGGCTCATAAACATTGCAGTTATCATCTAAGTTGTGGGAAGACTGTTTTAAACGTTTTAAATAAATGAACTGAACCTTTTACTTATGCTAAAATAAGATATAATTATATAAATTTTAAACAATAAGAATACTGATTTTAAAAAATCTTTATGTTTCTTTGCCTTCATGACAGCATTTGATGTCAGAAATTAAAAATAAATGTTTTTCTAAATGTGAAACTGTCAACTGATTTTTGAAAACAAAAAATAAAAAAACTTACATTTCTATTAAACAAACACTTTTTTGTTGTCATTGCTGGTTTCCAATAAGAAAATCCAATTACCAAAGCATGCACAGACCTGACACAATATAACACACAATCTAATATCATAAATTAGGAAGTTTATCTGCAGGGACCCATATTTAAGCTCTACTGATTCTGATTCACATTTTTCAAAAGGAAAACAGGGATTAATGGATGAGAAAGAACAAACAATACACACAACATATTGTTCCTTAACTCCATCTTTTGCATCATCACTGGATCACAGCTTGATCCATTCGTGTTTTAACAATCCGACTTCCTTGGAAGTCAGACACGTGATCAGGGATTTGGGTTAGACAGAGGGCACTGTGAGATTAAGGTTGCAACAAGGCCACACGTAGTACTTACTGAAAACTGAGCCAGATTTATTAAAGTTTGGGCCAAGTTTTTCTGAATCAGAAAACAGAATGAAAGAACATGAAGGTCAAAGGAGATTAAGATAAAAGAAGAATTACACTCAAGGGTGGTCAGAGCTGTTACACGAGGAGAGAACCTGATGCTCTGGATTATTTAAAGCTTTGCAAATGGCAAACAGCATCACGAACGGCCTACGTTTGGTGAAATAGTTTTTTTTATTTTTACAGGATTGACGGTTAAACCAAGTGAAGAGTGTGTAACTCTCATTTGATAACAGTGATGCGGTTGTTAAGCAATCAAAGATGTTGGTTTGTATACTGTAAAATGAAATGCTTCATTTACTTAACAAATTTATGACAAATGTTCCATCAAATGGAGTTACAGTAAAGAGCAGCGTTTCTCAATTAGTGGGGCGCGTCCCGAGGGGTTGTCGTGGGGCATGAGACGCAGAAGAATCCATTATTTTTAGCATATTTTTTCTCGATGGAATGCTAAACCACCCCCAGTCACTAGGTGGCAGCAGCGCTCAGACTAATCAAATGCAAAAAGTTATATATATTTACTTTGAACATAGCAGTGTTTACCAATGTTAAAATTACTTTTTACATCTGAGCAGCTAGGTTTAGTGGAACCAGTCGACATAACTTGGTTAAGTGAATTCAACATTTCCTGTTTTACAGTGAATCATAACCATCTTTGGAAAAGACGATGGGCTTTTCCACTGCTCTATTAAAAACAAAAAGGTTTAAATAAATAGTGTTCAAATATGGAAACATTGGCTGAAAAAGTGCTTTATAGAAACTAAATGAGGTTAAAAACAGATAAATCCACTAGATTTCCAAATGTTTCTCATCTGTGGTGAAATAGTCTCCTTCTCACCTGCAAACTGCCTCTCAGACGTTCCTCTGCCTCCAAACTTGGTCACAAGCTTCCCGTTGGACTGGAAGATGAAGACGCAGCAGGCCTTGTTGTCAACGGTGATGATGTGTCCATTTTTATCCACGGCCACACCTTTAGGACCCATGAGACGGCCAGCACCTATCTTATTCTGCAGCAGAAGATCAGAGCAAATATGAAACACTTCATTGTAAAGCATATTGTTTATTTATGTTTCATCTGATGAAGTAAAAAGCTAAAGTAGAACTTAAGAAAGCCAAATAATTATTACCTTAAACTTGCCGTCAGAGGAGAAGATGCTGACCCATCTGTTGTCATAATCCGCCACCACAATGTCACCATTCATGTCCACAGTGACGCCCGTCGGCCTCTGCAGCTGTCCTGGAGATCGACCTCTGACCCCAAAGCGCATTTTGAACTGGCCATCATTGGAGAAGACCTGCAGTCAGTTCCATCACACAGCCCGTTATGATCTGCTCCCCCACAGCAGCAGACATGGCTGCACCTGCACGTGTTCTCCACTGTGTGGTAGCCTCACCTGGATGCACTGGTTGTTGCTGTCAGCCACCACCACTCTGCCATTGCTGGAGGTTGAGATTCCTTGCAGATTTGTGAACTCACCCTTCTCTCTGCCTCGGGTACCTAACAGAAAACAACTGTGGCATTTAATGGTCTGGATGTGCTTAATTTACTATCCCTGACAAGTGTTGTGGGGCCTATTTTATCCCCTGAACATTCTTTTAGATGACATAAAATCTGTTTTCAGGATTCTTCTAAAATCTATCAGACAAATGGACTTTTTGATTTGTTTCACTGCAGTTAAAACCTGCTTGAGTAGAGACGTTACAGCTAAACTCACATGAAAACAGTAAAGACATTTTTTACAGCAAATTAAACATTTTACAAACAAATTTGCCTGAGTTTAAAAATATCTGTTTCAGAATTAAAGTGACAGTGTGTACTTTCCCTGGTGATAGGGGGCAGTAGACACCTAAATCATTGCAAGCAAGCATTATTTTTGTGTTTAAGTAAGACCATACCAACGGATAGCCATAAGGGTCAAAAATCCCTGGGAGTGCAACTTCCATCAAAATGTCAAGAAAGATACTTACAAATCATTAAATGTGTTATGTCCTCACGGGCTTCCGTAGAAAGAAACATGGCATCAAATATGGCGCCACCCAGAGACTTATACCCACTCCCATGTATGTTAGAACAGATTTTTATGGTGATATGTTATGAAACAGTCAATATTTTTCAACAACTGGGGATCTTTTAATTCATTTACAACATTTAGATGGATATTTTCAGACATTATTTGTAAAAAGTACACATTGTCACTTTAAGAAATGTGTTTTCTCTAATGGAGTTTGATTCTAAAGGAGTGCATTGATGCAGCAGAGCATGAAAGCATAAAAAATCACTTCCAGTACAGGATGTGATTAATGGAGCCGTGTTGGCAATATTTCTGAGGCACAAGCCAAACGGAGACTTGACAAGATCGTCTAATGTAAAATCAGAGTCAAAAGTAAACAGAGAGACATTTTACATCCATAAATAAATACATAAATACATTTAAAAGTTGGCAAATTGTGCCTAAGAGGAAGCAGATATTAGGCTTCCTTTCCATAAACCTGGAGCGATTCTGATGCGAAACAGGAGCAAAAGTGTTCCACACAGCTGATCCCATGAGGTCACAAAATCACGAGAAAATTGCAACACAACGCGTGATTTCAGAAGTCCACACAATAACAAGCAAGGAGAAAGACAGCTGCATGCATCCAGAAAGGTCCGTAGTTTATTTTATGTTCTGTTTACTTCTGCTGCAGGGGGAAATGACGTACTGCACATGACTTTTATTATGAAAATTTCCAGATGATTTCTTGTTTGACTTCCTGTCTGACATTATCTTAACTGCGGAGTTTGACATATTTTGAAAGCGTAGCGCATAAAAAACAGACTTGAAACGTAATGATGGTGCCCCTTCACTTCTGGGACGCGTCCAAAGTGTTGCACTTTGCTGCCGGTGGAAAGAAATCTGTCCACTCTAAAGGTTGGTTTATGCTTGACGCGTCCGCGAGGTCCGCACGGCTCCGCGCGGAAAAGTTGCGTCATTTTGCGTCATTTTAACAACCACGCCCCTCCACCGCGTCTCCGCACGGCTCAAGATTTCCGCAACGCGCACCTCGGAAAATTTCCAACCACGCGGACAGACGGACGCGGAAAAACATGGCGGACCGGCAAGAACTAGTACGGCAGAGGTTCGTAAATACAGACATTTGTATGAATCAGCTCTCAAAGATCACCGTGATCAACATGTTGTTAATAATTCTTGGAAAGAAATAGCTTGCACTGTCGGAAAAGACGAGAACGCTGTTAAAAATGCTGAAATGCCGTGTTGTAAACAGTCATTTCTACTTCTACCATGGTGTAATGTTGGATTCTTGCCATAGAGCTCCATGCTGCCCCGTTCAGTTTGGGAGAATATTGGCTCACCGCAGAGACAAGCCGCACGAACCATAAACGCTGCGAGTTGTGAAGCGCGTTCCATCCGCGAGCCGCATCACCGCGCGGAAAGTGAATGCGTCAAGCATAAACCAATCTTAATGGTTGCTAACCGCATCAAAGTATGTTTCACAGCCGTTTTGTAATGCTTTCATGACGGCTGGAAAGGAGGATTAACAAACCAACAAGGGTTCAAATTCAGTACCCTGGGGTACGAAATGAAGAGTTCTATTCCCACACCTGATTCTAACATGCTAACAGCTGGGGGGCCTGCAACTGCCAACTGGTTATCTTCCTTACCAACTCTGTAGATGAGCTCATCCTCAATGGGGTTCTCCTTCTTCTTCGTGGTGCTGTACATGCTGGAGGGTCGCCGCACAGCTTTCTGTCGAATGTGGCCTCCTGTCCCACTTGGGGACTTCACCCTCCTTTTTACATCGTCCGGAGACTGGGTCACATCTGACGGCTTGACTGCTCGCAGACGGAAGGGGCTGCCTCGTATGGGCTGCCCGTACAACAACAGGCTGAACGAGTGCTCCCCCTCACAGCGTATTGTGTAGCCCACCTCGTACGTTCCATTCTTGTTGTCTGTTATTTCTGTGTCCGCAGACCGATTACCATCGGCAGACGTTATCTCTGCTTTTAAAATGGCATTTCCTGTCCGTACCAACTCCCCATCCTGCAAAAAGGGAACAAGTAAAGCTATAAAAGGAAACTAACCTTGATCAGAGGAACAAGCATAAAGTTACATGAACAGGAGATTAAACAAAGGGCATAACTGAGATGAAAAATATGAACTAATTAAAACAAAAACATGGATATTGAAGGTTGTACTTTGTCTTTTGTTGTGACTGTAACGGTGTGGTACTGTCCAGTTGCTGCGTGTCGTAGGCCCTCTCCTGTTGCCACAGAGGTGTGAGCCACAGCGCATGTGGTGAGGAGAACACCCAGGTTCTGGATGGAGCGCCGCAGACCTTCAGTCTCCACCTGAAGCAGAGAGCTACAGCTTCACTTCATTGATATTTATATTTTTACACTTTCAGCTCTCTGTTAAGTAACCCCAACATCAAAGTTGAATTTGAATGTCCTAGGGAGGGTGGGCATAAAGTGAGTTTTCAACACATTAAGCTACTACTTTCTAACTAGTTTCAGTGGTTCTTGAGCCAGCTCCACATTCGCATCAGTGGAAGGCCTCTACCTGCTTGACGGCATTAGCTGTTTACTGTACTAGTAGCTAATAGGCTAGCAGTTAGCGTTTTTCAGTTTTGCGACTGTGAAAATAAAGCACAAGAAGAAGAATTTATTTTTTGTTTTGTTGGCATTGTGACGGAGCCATAAAGTAAAAGCGAGAGAAATGTCTTTGGAGGTGAAGCAAAGAGCTGAAGCCAGAGTAAACAGCAGCATTACCTGCACTAGTTTAAGTGAGCTGAAGGAGGCAACGAAATCATAGACTGATTGTGACCTGACTTTGTTGCTACTGGACTTGTAAGTAATAATAGTTTTTGTCCAAAAGTGTGGATCTTTACTTTGTGGCTCGTGTTAGCTTTAGCTCGCTGTTTAGCGGTAGCTAGCAGGCTATGGTAGGGTTGCTTACGACAGTTGTAATTCAACATGTAGGAGGAGGAGGTGTGAAACCTGGAGGGCTGGTATCCAACACGTTTTAGTTTTAATTCTGTTTCAGCACACCTGATTTCAATCAGCAGGTGATTAACAGGCTTCTTCAGAGCCTCATGAGCTGCTGCACAGGTGATTCAACCACTGAATCAAGTGTGTTGGAGCAGAGAAACCACTAAAACGTGCTGGATACTGGCCCTCCAGGCCCAGGCTTGAATACCCCTGCTATATTGTGCTGCTTTATCTTATTCAGTGTTGCTTTAAAACAACGGTAATTCACCGTGAAACTGGTCTCGGTGTGATCATCAGTCTAACAGAATTGTAACGTCCAGCAATGGTCAGTTTTTAGGTACAGTTTGACCATTCAACATCTGGTCAAAAAGGAAACACAAGACTGCACGTGTCCCCTTTAAATTGGCCTGCCTTCATCCCATCAGCTGGAGCTCAGAGCCCCTCTGCAGCTCTGAACACAGATAACAAATTGTCAACAATGATGTTCTCTCCTCAAGGTCCATCCTTATCGTCCTACAGGATTCTTCATGCCTAACACTCGCAGCTCGGATTAGTTGCTAAATCAAAGAATGATTTCCTAAAAGAGAGAATGACTGAGCAGAGGACTAAAACGAGATTCACGAGACTTGACATGAAATGAAGTTGTTGCTGGACAGTGAGAAGACAGGGGAGATACTTGTACTGTGTTGAGCTCCACATGTGCAGCTTTGTTCAGGATCACGCTGCATGATCATTTCTCAAAGCCATACTGATGTCTCATCACCAACAGGCTCCACCACCAGCCTCTGGGCCTAGCCAACAGGCTCCACCACCAGTCTCTGGGCCTAGCCAACAGGCTCCACCACCAGCCTCTGGGCCTAGCCAACAGGCTCCACCACCAGCCTCTGGGCCTAGCCAACAGGCTCCACCACCAGTCTCTGGGCCTAGCCAACAGGCTCCACCACCAGCCTCTGGACCCAGCTAACAGGCTCCACCACTGGCTAACGAGGCTAGCTGGCAGACCACAACGGCTTCACAACCAGCGGCCCTTAACGCTGATAAGATGCCACCTAAGAGGAGCAACATTAATGAGGAGGAACTGGAAGACATAAAGAAATCACTAAACTTAATGTCAGAAGAAATAATAATTTCAAAACAACAAAAACTGATACTTAATTTAATGGATGATATTAAAGAACTAAGAAGGCTGAGCGAGGACAAGGACAAGAAGATCGCTATGCTGGAAGGACGTGTGTCAGATCTGGAACAATTTACAAGAGTAAATGATGTGATAGTGACAGGACTGGAAACCAAGCATCAAGCGTATGCACGGGTGGCAGCTTCAGAAAAAGGAGAGTCACCTGAGCAAGAACTATGCACTCTGGAAGAGCAGGTAATAATTTTCTTCAACAGCAAGAGTATTGAAATGGACAGTAATAATATTGAGGGATGCCATCCTCTTCCAATGAAAAACAAAAGGCAATTACCTGCCATTATCATTTGTTTTGCTAATAGAAAACAGAAAAAAAGAACTGCTCGAACAAGGAAGAAAGCTAAGAAGTACAAATGTATATTTAAATGAACACCTAATCAAGAAAAATACAGACATACTGTAGCAAGACAAGCAAGAGTTTTGAGAAAACAGAAGAAAATACAGGCAACTTTGACGTCAGACTGTAAAACATTTATTAAGTTGAATGGAACACCAGAGCAGGCTAAGGTTCATCAAAGAGATGACGGAACTGGAAAAATATAAATGATAAATCAGTATGCAAATTAGAGTGAAATATGAGGGGAAGATCTAAGACGCACTACCAACTCAGATGGCTGACAGTTTACAATTGGCAACTCGTATAGATAATGAAAATAAGACATTGGGGTATGACAACAATATAGATCCTGATTGTAATTTCTTTAACAGTAACACAAATGAATGTAAGTATTATTCAAATGAGCAACTTGAAACACAATTAAGGTAGAAAAGGTTATAACAATGGTTCACTTTAATAGTCAAAGCTTATATGCAAACTTTCAAGCCATAAAAGACTACGTAACTCTGTTTGAACAGCTATTCAGGGTAATAGCCATATCAGAGACCTGGATAACTCCTGGAAAAGAAGAAGACTTTAAATTAATGGATATGAATTTCTTCATGTAGACAATATCAACAGGGGGGGGGGGGGGGGGGCACTTTATATGAACAAAAACCTAAAATATGAAAGAATGGGAAGAATGACGACTGTTGTTGATGGAGTGATGGAATGTTTAACAGTGGAAATAAGTATGGAAAAGGGTAAAAACTTAATTGTCAGTTGTATATACAGAACACCAGGATCCAAGACTGAGATATTTAAGGATTATATGGAGGAATTATTTACAAATATAAATCAGAAAAGAATGTTTATTTGTGGGGATTTTAATATTGACATATTGAATCCAAATCATAATAAGAGTACTGAAGATATCACAATATCACTGACCATTTACCAGTTTTGGCATCTTATTGCCACCATAAAGTGAAGAATGATGGGCACAAGATTAGGTACAAAAGAATAAGAACAGAGAGGACATTAAACTGTTTTAGAAATGAACTTGTAAAGCATGACTGGAATATGGTATATGAACAAACAGAAGCTAATGAAGCATTTGAAGTATTTTTAAGAACATTTAACACATTACTTGATAAAAACTGTTCAGTAATTGAAATCAACATGAAACACAACTATTCAGGAAGACCATGGATGACTAAAGGACTACAAAATGCTAGTAAAAAAAAAGAATACCCTAAATCGAGAATTCATAAAAAGAGAACAATAGAAACTGAAAGGAAGTATAAAAATTACAAAAATAAATTAACAAATATAATGAGATCATGTAAAAGAGAGTATTTCATTAAAAGGTTACTAAATAATAAAAATAACACAAGAGATATATGGAAGGTATTAAACAGCATAATCAAAAATGAATCAAGGAATAATGACTACCCTGGGTACTTGAGAGATCTATGACATAGTTAGAGGACTTAAGAACAAAACCAGCACAGATTGGAATGATATTGATATGGTAACAGTAAAAACAGTCATTGATAGTATTGTAAAACCATTAACATCTATATTCAATTTGTCATTTCAAAAAGGGTTTTTCCACAGGATATGAAAGTGGCTAAAGTTATTCCCATTTACAAAACCGGTGAAAGGCATCATTTTACAAACTATAGACCAGTGTCGATACTCTCCCAGTTCTCTAAGATACTGGAAAAACTGTTCATAAAAAGATATGAATTATTGACAGATAGCCAATTTGGGTTCAGAAGTAACAGATCAACAGCTTTGGCATTGACAGATTTAATGGAAAAGATAACGGACTGTATGGATAATAAGAGGTATGCACTCTGAGTTTTTTTAGACCTAAAAAAGGCGTTCGATACTGTGAATCATGAAATTCTATAAAAAAATGGAAAGGTACGGGTTTAGGGGAATCGTTGGGGACTAGTTAAAAAGCTATGTAGGGAATAGGAAACAATATGTACAAATAAATGAATACAAATCGGATTTAATGGATATAGCTTGTGGAGTACCTCAAGGTTCAGTACTGGGACCAAAATTGTTTATTATGTACTTAAATGATATCTGTAGAGTATCAAAAATTTTAAAGTTTGTAATATTTGCAGATGACACAAATATACTTTGTTCAGGTGTGGAATTGACACTGGTCTTGGAGTTTATCACACAGGAATTAACGATATTAAAAAAGTGGTTTGATATAAATAAATTATCATTGAATCTGGATTAAAACCAGATTTATGTTATTTGGTAACAAAAAGAAAAACATCAAAATAGAAATTTGTGTGGATAATGTATATTTAGAAAGAGTAAATGAAATAAAATGTCTTGGTGTGATCATTGACCATAAGCTCTGTTGGAATCCACACATTACTTATGTTTAGGGGAAATTGGCACAGGTCGTTGCCATCCTGGGGAATAAAGAAGATGTTGGATCAGAAAGCCCTGCACGTATTATACTGTGCTTTACTACTGCCATATATGAGTTACTGTGTAGAAGTCTGGGGAAACACATACAAAAGTAACATACAGACGATAACTATAATACAGAAAAAAGCCCTTAGAATAATAAATAATGTGGGGTACAGGGATCATACAAATGCACTATTTGTCGAAATGCAAGCTATTGAATTCCAAGACTTGGCGAAGTTCAAAACAGCGCAAATGATGCATAAAGTAAGAAATAAATTGCTTCCAAAAGAAATCTGTTGATTGTTCAAAGAAAGAGAAGGTGGGTATAACTTAAGAGGGAAATGGAATTTAAAAATACAAAGTGCTAGAACAACTTTAAAAACTATGTCAATCGCAATTGCAGGAGTTAAATTATGGAACAGTCTAACAGAAGAGATAAAAGAAAGTAAAAACATAAACCAGTTTAAAGTAAAATATAAAAACCTAATTTTAAATAAGTATAAGAATGGTTAACCCAGGGTAAATGTGGCTGGTTATGCTTTTGTGCTTCTTTTTCAGTGTTTTTTGGTTTGTTTGGTTTTTCTTTTTTTCTCCATAACTGGTGAATCTGCAAATTTACACATTCTCTGTTTTCCATATGTTGTTCTGTTTATATATATATATATATATATATATATATATATATATATATATATATATATATATATATATATATATATATATATATATATATATATATATATATATATTCATATGTTGTTTGTTTAAGATTAAAAGAAAATTAAATGAATAAGAGGTAAAACTTGGGGGTAGGGACAAATAAGTAAATACTTCTGCCTACTCCTTTTCAAACAAATAATGGAATTATATTTCATAATGATACATGTGTGAAATGTTTGAAATGTTTGAAATAAAAATGAACTGAACTGAACTGAACTAAATTAAATATGAACTTCTAAAACTTATAAGCTGGATATTCATTAAATAATGTTTGTTTATTGCTACTTATAATAATTATAATATAATGAAATGTTTCATTAATCTGTGCTCAATGATTGAAGTTTGAAATGAATGTTATGTTATGATTACAGTGATTGAAATATGTTTCAGCATGTTAATATGACAAGGTCATAACCATTTGCACTCACACAAGAACAAAGTTAAGTTAAACTTATGACACATAAATAGTCCTCTACCCCAGATCAGAGCCTGCGGTATCAAAGGAGGCGTGTTTCTGAGACTCTTGGTAATAGTCCTCAAACTTGTCAACCTCTGGTTGGCTACACACGTCATCAAAACCATTTTGCACCTGCAAAGCTGATACGGCTAAAAGTTCCTGCAGAACAAGCTGATATTGTTTAGACTCCTTAAGAGTCCCAGACGTGCGGTTCCATCTGTCTGTTGTGACCTGGAGACAACTCTGAAGGGCTCGGCACACAGGAGGCGACAAACGACCGCGATCAATGAAATTCGTCGCTGTCGCGTTTATTACCTGTGTAGCGACATGAATGGCCTCCTTTGTGACCAAAAGGTCACACTTCCTCAGCTGGGTCAGCTGTCCTGGCTGTACTTCTATCTACAGAATATCCATCACAGGAGACGCAAAGTCTGCTGTAAACCATCTTTAATCTGACTGCTGTTCCATCTGCAAGACAAAGGACACTTCAAGATTTTAAAGAATCATTTTTAATCAACTCTTTTCACTGTCTATCACAATGTTCATAAATAATCATCAAGGTTCATTATAAATGTATTTCATTACTGAAATGAATTATTTTTCTTTGGTTAATAATCATTATTATTTATGATAATCAGTAAAGTTTAACAGTGACAAGAAGATCATGTGCACTTATACACACCATGCAGGACACAGCAATCAGGTTAAAGTTAACTGTACTCACATGTCACATGTCTTTGTCACATGACAACCCAGAGCTTTCTATCTTGAGAGGGCGTGTTCCGAGGTATGTTAAATCTACATGTCAAAATCTAATTCGTTAGAATAAGATTACCAGCCGTCTCTTAAAACCTAACTCCTCAGTTCAAGTTCAGTTCTTGAGCTCACCAAAATTCTCTCCGTGGCAACGACATTCCAGAGGATCGAGTCGGCCGTTCGAAACCTCTTTTAAAGCTTTTCTGTCTCGCCGATAGAATTGCTTCAACAGAAACGCCATCTGCAGCAAAGCTGACACAAAACTCCTTCAGAGTTCATTTTAAGACAGAAACCATCCACCTGTGTGCCTGCGGCAACTCTAGGACCAGAGAGTCAGTACCACTGGTCTACCCTACCGGACCGGGTACCCAGAGGCTGATCAACATCCTCCCTTGACCTCGGGATCCGAACAGAGGGTCATCTGAACGGTGAAGCAGAACACAAGATTGTGTCCGGAATGCCTGTTTCTTTTAAGAAATAAATTAGCTTAACACAAACCAAATTCTTTTACATCCAGAACTCAGTTCCTAGATATGGAATTTCTGATAACATCGCGTTCACACATAGGTTTCATACATAACATCTAGTTCCATCCATCACAGTAAAATGTTAGTTAACTTGTCATGTTTTAATTGTTGGTAAAATAAATTCTTACTTTTATAAACCTGACTCTTTTCTGAAGCAAAACGAAGTGTGTACATTCCCTTAAAAAACAAAGAATCCTAGAATCTTCTGATAAACACACAAAGACCGAGCAGGGTTGATATTCTATATTTAAATAGAGTATCACAGTTTATTCGTCATAAGTAGAGATTATACATAATATACATTTTATATATATATATTTATATATATATATATATATATATATATATATATATATATATATATATATATATATATACACAATATATATATATTGAGCTCTTAAAGCACTCAATTTCCCAAAACCTACAGAATTAATCTCAGTTATTCAAAGATTCAGTCTACAACAGGTAAAATGTTATTTTTTCCCCAATAAAAGCCACTTAAAAAGATCTTATCTATTGATTTTGGGGCTTTCTGATGTCTGAAAAAAAAACAATAACACCTAATTTTGCATTAAAAGATGCAGCACAACAGCCACATCACAGTTGATTTATAGGCAAACTTGACAACTAGCAGAACCACTCCAGAATGGAGGAGTATGACTATAACAAGTTGCTTAAATCAGAGCTAACAACAGTTAGTACCTGACAATCCAGGTGTGCATTCTGATGTGGCTTCTCTGGGAAGTCGTGTCTGGCCAAAGCTGTGACCCGCTCGCTCATCTGCTTCTGAACCAGCAGCACCTACTCTCAGATCACAGACATAAAAATGATGCAACATCAGGGTCAGCTGATACCTGTAAAGCTTGTGCCTGGGTTTGCTTTCATAATAGCCCCGCCCACCTCAGTCGCCGTCCCGTGGCTGAGAGCCTGTTCTGTGAAGCTGCAGCTGCTCTGGATGTGTTCCTTCCCCTGGCGCAAAGACGAAAGCTGGGCCTGTAGAACCTGTGCTCAGGTGAGTAGAAGACCAACAAAACCAAAAGTTTGCGACGGGTGTGAGACAGATTCATAAAGTCCAAACAAGCTGGAAGCTTAACCTTCTGCTTAGCGCTGCAGATACTCTCCAGATCCATGACGAGAGCCGTCTTGCGCTGATGCAGCAACCTTTCCAGCTCTTCAAAGGTGCTGGTGATCCCCGCCACGGCCTCGTTCTTTCTTTCATTCAGCTGACAGGAGATCTCACTCACCATTTCAATGGCTGCTGTGAGCTGAGGCAGCCTGCAAGACTGAACTGTGTAAGAATTTCTTTGAAATGTTGCATGACTAAAACTAGGATTGCAGCAGTAAAATGTAAAATGAGATTTTGTCGTACGAAAACAAATTTGATATATTTTAGATCACCTGTAGGCGGGATTGAATGCTCAAGAATCCAAACTAGGTGTTCTGAGTCCCCACCTGCTGTGAATGGCATCCAGCTGTGTCTTCAGTGCAGCTTTGTGTTGCTCCACAACGTCCCGCAGAGGGACCGTCACATGCTCCCTGTGCTCACCCTCTGTACAGTCCAGACACATGGCCGTCTCACAAGACTCGCAGTAGAACTCCATCACCTGCAGGAGGAGGCGAGTTAAATCGATTTATAGTGCACTGACTAGACAGAGGGACAGGAAAAAAGGGGCTTCTCACTTTTCCCTCGTGGTTTGGGCAGCAGAGAGGTTTCCCTGCTGCTGCAGCCGTGACGGACTCCAACACGCTGCAGGCCTCTGGACGTGAGCACTCGGGCTCACGTTGGAGGACCTAAAACAAAACATTCAAATCTTTAGCATCTGTTTTTTTTTTACAGAAGTTGCTCCCAATAAAGGCGTGAACAGGACAACAAGGAAAGGATGATGGACAGTCAGACCTCCATGAGATTAGAGATGAAGAAGTTGTTCTGCAGAGCGCACACTCCTTTTTCTGGGAGGATGGACGTCTGCCGACACACCGGACACGAGAGCGTGAGCGACTCTGGGGGGATGTAGTTCTGGAGGCAACTAAAGGGAGGTTCGAGACGCAAGATTCACTTGAAAAATCATCCTTTCGTGCTAAAGTTGGGTCAAGTATCTATTTCATTTTAAAAATGGAGAAAAATGTGTCTGAAAAGGATCAGTCAAGTATTCCACTTGGTTTTAATTTCAAACAACCCCTGAAAATAAACAAATTCTCTGAGTGGAAAAATGTCCAAAAACATCAGTTTCACCTAAATCTGCTGCTATTGCAACATGGCAAGAAGATAATACGTTCCACGATGGTTGAAACCCTCAAACGGCACGGGAATAAGATCAGACTCACAACAAAACATCATTGGATAGCTTTAGAAATTGACTCAGTTTGCGCTGCAATGTTGATTTTTTTTATCTTCACAAATAACAGAAGCCTGGAGGCGTTTCTGCAATGTGGTGGAGTTGATAATGCTAGCTTCTACTAGCTGAGATGTTCTCTGCTGTTTCCTGGACACTAATCCAACAACAGCCTTCCCCATCGTAAGCCAAGATAGGTGAGTCCATGAATGTTAGGTGACGGTGTGAAGTAGATCTGTCAGGCTTTTCTGAACCAAGTGTTCTGTCTATTTTCAATCAAGCTAACGCAGGCGATAGGCGTAGAAGACTATTTTCATGTTCAGCCTGCATGACAATCTCAGAGTGACCAATCACTTTCAAAAACAATAAGTAAACAATGGTTTCTCGTTGAACCTGCTCTTTTAGAGCCTCAACGTTTGTTACCTTTCACAAAAGGTGTGCAGACACGGAAGGACTTTTGGGTTGTGGTAATGGTCCAGACAGATGCTACAGACCAGGAACTGCTTGTCTATCTGACGCACCACAGGGCTGGTGCTCCCCGCTTCATGTTTGGCCATGGCAGCCGACATTTAAAGACACAAACGATGACAGCTGTTAGCCTGCAAAAAAATAATAATAAAAATAATAAAAAAGTCTGTAAACATGATGACATCTTCTGAGAGTTGCTGTCAGGGCTGCAAATACTTAGCTAATTTCTTATGTGTGGTACCACAAACTAGAGTAAACAGAGATGTCTAGCGATCAGCACAAAAACGTGTCCTTTGTTGTTATTTTTGGGTCAAAACCACGAATAACTCCTACTTCGAGCGAGCTAAAAGATTCGGAGGGAGAAAGGTTTTGGCTGTTAGATCATTATTTAAAACAAAACTAGACGAGTAAACAAAAAGTGTGGATGAAGTGATCTGTGATGATCATACAATATAAAAATATATTTAAAATATAAAAATATATTTTTAAAAAGCAACACATTTTTTTATTAGCAGGAAACATTGGAGGAAACTGAAAACTTAAGCTGGTTGCTTTCAGGATGATAAAACCTTGGTTGTTGTTTCAAGTTACAGAATAAATCTGGACTTTCTCATTTCAGTAAAAGCAGCAAGAGGCTTAAAAGTAAAGCAGAAGCAGGTTGAGAACAGCCCACGTTAAAGAGAAAGACGACTGAAAACAACGACTTAGATAAGTTCTTACAATTATGTATTATGGCTGTGCATGGATGTATGTGCAAATGTGTGTATAAATGTTTGTGTGTGTGTATGTGTGCGTGCATGTTTGAATGGGTAGATTTTAGTTTCATGTGTATATTTTAATATGTAAACACCGATCGTTTTTAAGGGTGTACATATTTTATAATTGTTTGTTTTATTTAGTCTCTTTTACTGTTAAGCACATTGAGTTGTTGTCGTACAGGAAATGTGCTCTATAAATAAAGTCATTCATTCATTCAACATATAGCAACAATAGAAGCTGAGACTTTCAAAAAGCATGTCAACCTGAAAATTGGAAACATTTTGTTATCACGTGAAATCGCAGAGGATTAAAATGCTGTCATGAGCGAAGGCAGTTTCTTCAATGTGGATGTGATGATCAGTTTTGTTATGTTTTGAAAACTTTTGCACACAAATTACAACTTATAAGCTTTCCTGACTTTATTTTTGTTATTACAAGTGACCTGAAGGTCACTACGCCCTGTTAAAGGAGACATATTATGACTTTTAAGTTATAATATTTATGGTTGATACAAAACATGTTTATGAAGTTCTTTGCACTAAATGATTAATGATAATGATAAATTACCTGCAGATGACTCTAAAATGCTTTACACTACAGTGTATCATTCATCTATTCACACACTGATGGTGATGCGCTACATTGTAGCTACAGCTGCCCTGGGATGTTCTGACGGAGGCGAGGCTTCCGAGCACAGGCGCCATCAGTCCATCCAATCGCCACCAACAGGCAAGGTGGATTAAGTGTCTTGCCAAAGGACACAACAACACAGTTCTCTGTCCAGCGCCGGGATCAAACTTGCAAACCCACTCACCCTCTTAAACAATTGCTGCCCCTAAATCCCTCTCACATGAAGCAATTCCAGCCTTTTTCTTCTTGGTATTTTCGGTACCTCTCAGAATGAGCTGTTTTAGGGCTTTGTCACTTTAGGAAAACATGTTGGAGCTGGCCACGCCCACCCATTACCTGCTCAAGCTGCTATAGACTGAGAAGATCCCGATTTCCAGGAGGGGCTCAGAGTAGAGCCGCTGCTCCTCCAGCAACAGCCGTTTTCCTCCATGTGGGAAACGGCTGTTAGTTAGTCATTCTACTCTAATTTTCCCATTTGTGACATCACAAACAAGGCTTTTGAAACAGCTGGTTTAGGCACATAATCCCTAAAACCAAACACTGACAGAAAACAAACGAATGTTTTTTTTTTATGGTGGAGGTGTTTATAGATAGTAGAGACCCACATAGCAGTACAAAAGTGTGCAAAAGTTCAATTTTGCTGATACGTCCCTTTCAAAAGATCCAATTATGGTCCAACTTTCAAATTTGAGTCAGTGACCCCATGCTGCTGAGCCACTGAGAAACTGAAGTATCCACAAACCATAACAATTCCTCCACTGCTAACTGCTTATGTGAATTATTATTGTTTTTTGTCAGAATTTACTTTGGCCTAATAAAGTTCTGGTTTCAAAAGTTACACCAGACGCTCACCCCCCAACCTATTCCTATGTAATCACATTACATTTGTTATCATAGGAATCTGAAAATAAAATTAAAAGAGTGTGTTTTTTATCAAAGGATGTTCCTAAATGTAATAAATTATAGAAATGCCTCAAAATGAAAAATTTCATTCATGAATGATACATTTTTTATATTTAGTCCTTGACAGAGGGTGTTTTTTTTTCTTCAGGCATTAAACACTGGGCAGGTATGATGTTCCATTTAATGACGGGAAGAATCCACATGGATTCATCACACACTTTTACTGAGAACTGAAGTGACACAGGAAAAACTGGGAACAGCAGCAGAACTCTGAGGTCACCAAAACAGAGGAGCCTCAAAGCTGATGTAACCTCATACATGATTAAAAACACAGCTGTAAAGCTGGATTTTCTGCCTAGCAACTAGACCCACTTGCATATGGCCCACTTCTGTATCTGTGCAAACCCAGCCTGTGTGATGCAACGTTGATGGCACCAAAGATGGAGTGTTGTTGTAAAACATCTGGACTGTTGGTTTAACCACAAACCAACACATTCAATAAAAACAATGAAACATGTGCACTTTGCTGGTCTCAGATAACGGCAACATCTTTTTGTTGTTGTACGACATTTTCTGTCTCTGTGTTGCTAAGTGTTTCTAGCGGTGCAGTCAGGTGAGATTTTATCAGTAGGTCCACACATGTTCTATTCATGTGGCAGACAGACACACGCTCCTTTCTGCTCACAAAGTGTGAGCAGATCCCAATTTGGGCCTGAAGCAAACATGTTTCAGGCATAGTTCTAAACTTCCTAATGATAAGGACGAACACATTCATGCACAAAGACGCACTGATAAACATCTACCCCCCACATGCCTCTCGTCCTGTCTGCACATCTGTCCGTGCTGGATCTAACACAGCTTTCAATCCCCTAAATCCCATCCCTGCTCTGGACCTATTGTTGTTACCCACATGCACAAACGCACAGTCTGCTGATACAGAGCCCAGCTGGACGTTTGCAGTCTCTGCGGTGACATTCCAGTGACATACGAGTCTGTAACGTATGAGTGTAGAGGTCAAGTTAAGCTCGCACCCATCATGTCACTTTCCCACACCAGGATCAGAGCTTTGATCTGGCATAAAGGAGTTATGAAGTGACAGCAGGAATGAATGTCTTTTTATCTGGAAGTGTGTACCGACACTACTTTCATCTGTAATGATGGCTGCTAAATTTAGGCTCACAGCGAGGAAGAAGAACTAAAATAAATATACCAGACCCAGGACTGCTAAAACATAAGGGATCTATCTATTTTTTTGTTTGTTTAAAAGGACAATGTGTATTTTTCCTAGTGATAGGGGGCAATAGATACCTAAATTGTTGCAAGGAAGCTGTATTTTTGTGCTGGAGTAAGACCTTAACAACGGATACACATTAGGGTCAAAAAGCTCTATTGAGCGCAAACTTCAGCAAAATAACGAGCACATCAGGCTCTCTTTTATCTGTGGCAACGAGTGAGGAGGTAAATGTGTAAATCAACAACGTTTAGGACTGGTGAAAGTTTTGTAACCATTTGTTAGATATCAGTAAATGCATTTTGTCCTCAGTGGCTTCCGTAGTAGGAAACATGGCATCTAAAATGGCATTACTCTGAGACTTAGGGTGTTTCTCAATATCAAGGTCGTCTTGCCTTGCAAGGCAATGTCTTTCGAGGCCAGGCACCTTGCTTACGAGGACACTGTCCTTCCTTGGTCAAAGAAAACGGTTAAATGGAACAGACTTGCATCACACGTAACGTCATGTGACACGGGAGATAACATTATATTTTATATGTGTAAGTTTCAATATAAATATAAAACGAGGCTTTTACTTTTTAAATTGTGTATATGTTTATTAAATTAAAAATATAAGCGAGTTACTACCCGCTAGCCACCGAAGCTGCAACTACTAAGCAAATAACCAACAACATATAACTTCTTTGGATCTAAATAAAACATTTTGAATTAGCTGACTTACTTTTAAACTTGAAAATTGTCCCCGAAGTAGCTGCCGGCTTCTGATCCGCCGTCTTTTTGAAAATACCGTGGTGTATTGTGGGTAATTTTTGACAAAGGCTAGGTTACAAGACACCTCCCGTGTGTCCTTGCTCAGCTAGCTAAACGGCTAACAAATGGAGAACACACTTCTGAAATCTCTCCACTGGTTGCCCGTGCAGTTTAGGATAAATTTCAAAATTATGCTTCTGACTTACAAATCCTTGAACCATCAAGCTCCTCCATATCTGTGTGAACTGGTCCATTTCTACAACCCGCCGCATGCTCTCAGGTCTGAAGATAAGCTCCTCCTAGCTGTTCCAAATGCACGTTTAAAAAGCCGTGGAGAAAGGGCTTTCTCTGTCTGTGCACCGAAGCTGTGGAACGCATTACCAATGCTAGTGAGGCAAGCACCAACAGCTAGCATTTTTAAATCACGCTTGAAAACTCACTACTTCAACCTAGCTTATATAACATAATTATGACCATCACTTACATCTGCATTGTTTAAAAATGGACTTTACAATATCAACTTCCATACTATTGAGGTTCTTTTTTAAAATGTTTTTCTAATTTTTATTCACCCTGTGTCTTATTGATTTTTAGCTGTTAGCTTTTGGGAATTTTGTTGTATTTCCTTTTTATCTTCTATCTGTGTTCGACATGTTTGTATACCGCCGGTTTGATTAACTAACATCTTTAGTGTACAGCGCCTTGTTTGGTTGTAATGCCTTGTGAATGCGCTTTATAAATAAAATTGGATTGGATTGGATTGGACACTCCTCAGTAGAACATGAACATTGGAACACGTATTGGCGGCTCCTGATGATGTATCTCCTAGGCAACTGGGGCGGGGCCAAGACATCAAGG